TCTATCCTGGTGAATCCCAGCGCCAGTCCTGGAGGAACACTGGGTGTCTATCCTGGTGAATCCCAGCCCCAGTCCTGGAGGAGCACTGTCTGATGGTTTTCATTCCAGCTGAGCCCTAAAGCTCAAGAGCTAATTGATGACTTAATTGATCTGCTTGTTTTTTAGACTTTCATTTAATTTATTTGTTTGATCTGTCCTGAGTGTCTTATTTCCAACACCTTCAGCACACAGAACTGTACCAAGCCTCTCAGATTACAGGCAGTTAACAGCACTGACTAGTGAATAGACACAGGTGGGAGTGACACTATATCAGACACACCCATACCCAGTGTGTGTCTGTGAACTTCTGTATATACTTAGTAACTTAACATCTATGCTGTTTCTCTGACTTCAGAGACAAGATTTCAGGTTGGGAAGATGATTCTAATTCAGATTCTACATCATGCTTTTCTGTTCTGTGGACCCCCTGTAGCAGAATCACAGACCACAGTTTGGAAACCGCTGATCTAGAAGAGCTACACACTTCTGTTGGGTTGTGTTTAATATGGGCTGGGGGTCCTCTGGGACAGGGACCTCCTGGAATGGTGTCCCAGCCCAGCCAGACTTGATTGAAAACCTTGGTCACAATCCCTCACTTGTGATTGATTTGGTTTCCAAAGCAACTCAAATCCACAGCAACAGTTCTAGCTGTCGGTTGGTCACATCTGATTCCTTCGCTGGGCAGTTAGTGTGAGTGATTGGGTGCTGCTTGGATCCAGCATCATCATGGGTTTCCGATAGATGGCAGGTGGAGAGGTTTGGGATTTTAATTTTTGATTGACATTTTGGGGTTATTCCCTGTTCCCCATCCTGAACTGGAAGGGCAGGGATCAGAAACCGGTTAGTGGTGTGATCCTCGGAATCGGAGGTGACATGGGATCTGGCTTGACGCTTCCTCAAACAGCTTTTCTTTCCCAGGGATCTGCTGGGCCACTCCTGGGGGGAAGGAGTTTGCCACAGTCTTCATGCAGAACTACGAGCAGAACTACGGCAACCCGCGCATGCAGATCCAGGTGTCAGCCTTCCACCCCGACACCAAGGTCAAAGTCAGCGTGGCGAAGCTGGGGTACATCCAGGAGCGCACCCTAGGGGCCGGGCAAGGGGTGACCTTCCAGCTACCCAACAGCGTTGAGGTGTATGGCAGCCAGAAGACTTCGAACACCGTCCTGATCGAGGCCAGCAAAGACGTCACGGTGGTGTCACTCAACTACAAGTACCTGACGGCCGACACAGCCGTGATCTACCCCGTGACCGACTGGGGCACAGAGTACTATATCTTCACCTCTCCCATCTCGCCCCTGGGCACCTACAAGGAGCTCGCCGTCGCCAACTACAAGGAGCCCAACAGCATCGACGTCTACCTCCGGGCGCCTGTGAGATTCCAGGGCCAGCTGTACTTCCCCGGCACCAAGCTCACCATCAACCTCGGCCCTTTCGAGAGCGTGCAGCTGCAGAGCTGGTACGACCTGTCCGGCTCGCGGGTCGTCTCCAAGCTCCCTGTGGCCGTCTTCAGCGGGCACTCCTGCACCTGGAGGTTCACCAGGTGCAATCATGTATACGAGCAGCTGACGCCGGTCAGCCGCTGGGGCAGGAGCTTCATCGTGCCTCCGCTGTCCTTCCAGAACCGGTTCGACAGCGTTTACATCCAGGCCTCCCAGCCCACCCAAGTCACCGTGCAGGCAGGCAACGCGAAGGAGACAGTCGACCTCAACCGCGGGGACATCTACGAGTTCCAGATCCGCGCGCCATTCCCTCTCTCCGTCACATCCAACCAGGGCATCCAGGTCCTGTTCCAGGCTAACGGCGCCTACTTCGAAGATGGCACCATGTTCGACCCCTTCCTGATGACGATTGTGCCCACCGACCGGTTCTGCACCGCCTACACCCTCGACGGGCAGGCCGACTTCAAGAACGTGGCCATCTTCCTCGTCCGCACCAACGACCTGCCGGGGCTGAAGTTCGACGGCAACCCCGTGACCCGTGACGTCCCCTGGAGGGCAATCGCGGGCACACAGTACTCCTGGGGCGAGGTGGCCTTCCCTGCTGGGGCTGGCCGGCATACTGCCGCCCATCCCAGCTCCCCCTTCGGCCTCTACAGCGTGGGCATCGCCCAGATGAATGGGTATGGAGCTCCCGCACCCTGCAGCCAGCAAGGTAGGAACATCCGCCATGTTGACATCCATCATTTGCCTGATCTAAAATTGGCCCTTGTGTGAGTGTGTTTGTGATGGACTGGTGTCCTGTCCAGGGTGTGTGAGTGTGTTTGTGATGGACTGGTGTCCTGTCCAGGGTGTGTGAGTGTGTGTCCTGTTATGGACTGGTGTCCTGTCCAGGGTGTGTGAGTGTGTGTCCTGTTATGGACTGGTGTCCTGTTCAGGGTGTGTGAGTGTGTGTCCTGTGATGGACTGGTGTCCTGTTCAGGGTGACTCTGCCTTGTGCCCCCTTCTTGCCAGGATAGACTAGCTCCCCAATGACCCTGAAGTGTTTAGAAAATGGATGGATGGATTTCTCTGTGCAAATCGATTCCTCTTTAAGAAAGAGAGACCTGCAGCTGAGACACCATAGAGAAGACTGTGAACCCTGGATCAGCACTCTTTGCTTGGTCTTCTTCCTGATTTTCCTGGCCACTTGACGTCGCTCTCTGTTGCTCTGCTCTTTGTCGCCCCCCAGTGGCCATGGACTGCAGCAGTGTGACGTGCAGCACGGGAGAGCAGTGCGTGATGAGTGGCGGTTTCCCCAGCTGTGTGCAGCAGTCTGTCAAGACGGGCACCTGCTCGGCCATGGGTGACCCCCACTACCGCACCTTCGACGGGCGCACCTTCGACTTCATGGGCACCTGCACCTACATCATCACCAAGAACTGCCGCAGTGACGATGGCCTGCCTGCCTTCGAGGTGGAGGCCAAGAACGAGAACCGGGGGAGCATGAGTGTCTCCTACGTGGCCATGGTCACTGTCAAGGTGTATGGCTACGCTATCACCGTGGTGCGCTCTGAGATTGGCCTGGTTCGGGTAAGGCAAGCCTTTGTTTTCGGCACAGCTAACCTCTAGCCCTCTGGACACCCACTGTTAGTATAATCGATTCTTAAGGACAGGAAGGTCACCAATGAGAGGAAGTCATTCAGCTCAAATATCCCTTTCGGTTAAAAGCTTATTGATCTGAGGATCTCATCCAGAGATGGGTGTGTAGCTTGATCCTCTACACCCACCGCCCCTTCTGTAAAGAACTAGCTCCTGTCCTGATCGGTGGATCTCACCCAGCTAGGAAATGAACTAAATTCAGCTAAATTTCAGAATGTTCATGAATTGGTTACTGACAGAGGCTTGATGGCTTTGTCTCGGAGTGGGAAGTTGCTAAAACGTGACACATTTCCTTCCCTCTCCCCTCAAGGTCAACTACAGGATTGGCTATGTTCCCATGATCCTCGACAACGGGAAGCTCACCATCTCCCAGAGTGGACGTTCTGTTATCATCAACACCGACTTTGGCCTGACGGTGCGGTACGACTGGGAGCACTACCTGGTGGTGACGGTGCCCGGTAGCCTTGCGGGCAAGCTCTGTGGCCTGTGCGGCAACTTCAACGGCCGGCAGGACGACGACTTCGCCACGCCCAGCGGCTCCCAGGCGCCCGACGCGGTGGCCCTCGGCAGGAGCTGGCGGGCCAGCGGCGCGGCGGGCGACGGCCTGTGCTGGGACGACTGCAACGGGCAGTGCCGGCGCTGCGAGCACAGCTTCATCAAGCGCTGGGAGGGCGAGCTGTTCTGCGGGCTGCTCACCCGCATCGTCGACGGGCCCTTCCGCCTCTGCCACTCCGTCATCGACCCCAAGATCTACCTGGACAACTGCGTCTTCGACGTCTGCATGGCCGACGGCTACCACCACTACCTCTGCCGTGTGCTGGAGGTCTATGCCGAGGTCTGCCAGCGCGCGGGCATTGTGGTGTACGACTGGAGAACCCTTGCAAAGTGCCGTAAGTACGGTGCGCGTGCCGGTAAGGGGAGGGGGGGGACACATGGCTGGATGCTTGGATCTTCTGGTGCAGGAAGTTCCCAAGGACAGAAGGCAGGTCACAAAGGAGAGTTGAACCCGTTGAGGCGCCCAGTTGCTATTGGTCCAAAGATCTGGCCCAGCCATTCTGTGAAGAACACGGAGGTGTCGGCTTCAACAGCATGGCTGGGTACCTTGTTCCAGACCCCCATAGTGTGTAACTAAGAGCAACATCCCAGACCCCCGCAAAACAAATTCTCTACTCCCCCATCCCACACAAGAACAGAAAAACACCAGCCAGCTTACATGCTTAATTAATTAATTGCTTGTGCTACCCATTGAGGCGCTAAGTAGCTAATTGTTCCGAGGCCGTTGTCCAGCTGTTTCTTGATAGAAGCCATCCTCCACCCCACCTCACAGTCATATAGAGCACCCGCAGAAAAACACGTCTGCACGTATGCCGTGTGAGACTGTGTGCCTATGATGCATGCCCTCTCTCTCTCGCTCCCAGCTGCCAGGTGCCCAGAGAACAGCCACTACGAGCTGTGTGGCTCCGCCTGCCCCGCCACCTGCGGCAGCCCTGACGCGCCCTCCAAGTGCAGCGCCCCCTGCGTGGAGACCTGCACCTGCAATCCAGGCTTCGTGCTGAGCAGGGGTCGGTGTGTGCCCCAGGCTCGCTGTGGCTGCACCTACGAGGGCCGCCACATCCCGGCGGGGGAGACCGTCTGGGCCGACGACAGCTGCCGCAGGCGCTGCTACTGCAACCCAGCCAGCAGCACGGTGGAGTGCAGGGAGGAGGGCTGCCGCTCCGGGGAGCAGTGCCAGGTGGTGGACGGGGTAAGGGGCTGTTACCCCGTCACCTACAGCACGTGCACGGCTGCCGGGGACCCCCACTACCTGACCTTCGACGGGCACCGCTACAACTTCCAGGGCACCTGCGTCTACCAGCTGGTGGGCGTCTGCTCCAAGAACCCCAGCCTAGTGCCCTTCGAGGTTCTGGTGCAGAACAACTTCCGGGGCAACAGGGTGGTCTCCTACACCAAGCTGGTGGAGGTGAAGGTCTATGGAATGAGCATCATCATCAGCAGGGAGTTCCAGGGCTTGATTGAGGTGAGTTACAACCATCAGGGGCTCCGATTCCCTTTTCCTATTCCTGCTGCGCTGTGCTGCGCTGTTCAAGCATCCATCTGTGTGAGTGCCCACCCTGCTTCCCTGCCATCTGGTCTTGGTAGTTCAACGTTTTGCACAACTAGCTCATTAGACATCAGTAATCAGTAATGTCAGCAGAATAATTAAGCATCCGGCAGCTTGAAAGTATTGCAGGGCAGTGTGCGTTGAGTAGTTTCTGTAAGCGTGTCACTAACAGAACATATTTCAGAGTATTGTCTTTCTATGATAAGCTGACAGTGGTCTACAGGTAGCAAGGACTTTTGTTTCCTTTGTCAGAACAGAAGACAGGTTACAACCGAGAGGAGGCCATTGGGCTGAAGACACTTGGCTCAGTGTGACGGAGTCTGTTCGGTCTGTCCCTGCAGGTGAACAACGAACTGACCAACCTCCCAGCGTTCCTGGACGGCGGTAAGGTGGTGGTGTACAGGAGTGGTTGGTTCGCTGTGGTCAAGACCAACTTCGGGCTGCAGGTGGCCTTCGACTGGAACAGCGTGGTCACCGTCACCCTCCCCAGCACGTACGCCGGAGCCGTGTGCGGCCTGTGCGGCAACTACAACAACAAGCAGCAGGATGACCTGCAGATGAAGAACGGGCGACTCGCCAGCAGCGCCTCCGAGTTCGGGCAGAGCTGGCAGGTGGTGGACATCCCGGGGTGCGTGCACGGCTGCAAGGGCATCTGCCCCGACTGCGACGTCAACCAGAAGCAGCAGTACGAGACTGACAAGTTCTGCGGCCTCCTGCGGGACCCCAAGGGGCCCTTCCGCGACTGCCACGCCAAGGTGGACCCCAGCGGCTACTTCCAGGACTGCGTCTACGACGTCTGCCTCTACAAGGGGAGCAAGACGGTGCTGTGCCAGGCCATCACCAGCTACACCGCCGCCTGCCAGGAGAAAGGAGCCAAGGTCTATCCCTGGAGATCGGAGAAATTCTGTGGTGAGTTGCGCACCGTCCCTTGGGTCGACGTGCTCTTGCAGGGAGCTCAAGGCTGGCTTGAGGAAGCCTTCCAGTTCAGGGCTGTAAGCACTGCTTCAAATGAGGAGCGTGAACGGTTTTGTCTCTACCTGTTCCGCCAGACGCCAAATGCCCCGCTAACAGCCACTACGAAGTATGCGCCAGCGGATGCCCGGCCACCTGCTACAGTCTCGCCCCTCCCGCCGGCTGCCAGGCCCTGTGCAAGGAGGGCTGCGCCTGCAGCGACGGCTTCATCCTCAGCGGGGACCAGTGCGTGCCCCTCGCCGGGTGCGGCTGCCTCTACAGCGGCCGGTACTACAAGACCGGCCAGGTCTTCTACCCCGACGGCAGGTGCCAGAGCGAGTGCCGGTGCCAGCCGGACGGCCGCGTGGAGTGCGCCAAGTTCTCCTGCGGCCCCCACGAGGAGTGCAAGCTGGAGGACGGCGTCCGGAAGTGCCACGCCGTCGGCGAGGGCACCTGCTCGGCCTCGGGGGATCCCCACTACGTCTCCTTTGACGGGAAGCGGTTCGACTTCCAGGGGACCTGCACCTACACGCTGGCCAAGGCCTGCGGGCTGGAGGGCACCCGCCTCGCCCCCTTCTCCGTGGACGTGGAGAACGAGAAGTGGGGCAACGGCAAGGTGGCTGTCACCAAGCTGGTTGCTGTGGAGATCGATGGCAACACCCTGATCCTGAAGGCGGGCGTGAAAGGACAGATCATGGTACAGTTCCCCTTAGTTACCTCTTCGTGTTGTTTGTTTATTTTCCCAATGAGGGCGCACAAGGAAGCTTCCAATGGTTTTAGCACATTGCAGCCGAACATTGCAAGGGAAAAAGCAGCAGCAAGACTCAAGCTGTCCTCATAGTGCCACAGGAAGTGAATTATGTTCTCTGGAGCTCTGATGTCAGTACAGTACTGCTTGGATTTGTTCCAGGAGCTTTCGGAGTTGTCGACCAATAATGAGATGTTATATTAGTTGTGCTTGCGAGAATGAGATGTTTCCAGCGAGCAGCTACACAAGGAGAGGCTTTTACCAAAGTGATGGGATGTGTGCCTGGATTAGTTGTGTGTTTGTCCATCAGTGTTAAATGTTACACTTTCTTGACAGGTGAACGGGGTGTGGAACAACCTGCCCATCAGCCTGAACAACCACGCGGTGCGAGCGTTCCAGCACGGCATCAACGTGATCATCGACACCAGCTTCGGCCTGAGAGTGACCTACGACCTCGTCTACCACGTCACTGTCAGGGTCCCCGGCAGCTACCGCGACAAGATGTGCGGCCTGTGCGGCAACTTTAACGGGAACCAGAAGGACGACTTCCTCCTCCCCAGCGGGCAGCTGACCCCCGACATCAAGGCGTTCGGATCGGCCTGGAAGGTGGCCGTCCCGGGTGTGCTGTGTGACGACGCCTGCAGCGGCAACACCTGCCCGGTCTGCGAAGCCAAGAGGCAGGCTGTCTTCGAGAAGCGCGGCTACTGCGGCATCCTCACTGAACCCAACGGCCCCTTCGCCCAGTGCTACGCCAAGGTCCACCCCGATGTCTATTTCAGCAACTGCATCTACGACCTCTGCATGTCTGAGGGGGACATTAACGTGCTGTGCAACAGCATCGCGGCCTACGTCACTGCCTGCCAGTCCTTCGGCGTGGACATCAAGAGCTGGAGGACGCCATCCTTCTGTCGTAAGTTTCTCCGGGAAACACAGGGGGGGAGAAGGCCACGTGTTTGAGCACAGACCCCGTGTGGCAAATCTTTACTCTTGGCCGAGTGCTGTTTTGCAGATGGAGATGTATTTTAAAGGATACACATACGGTCCTGGTTTGAGTAAATGAGCCGATGGCTAATTTCAGGGGAACAATAGAGGTTCCAGAAAGCAGCTTCCAAGGTTTTGAATGCATCCTCCCCAGAAAAAAGATAAAACCAATTTTAACTTCTCAGCAGTGATTTTACCTCTACCTCCCTTCAGTGACCATAACTAGGCCTTCAGGTTATGACGTTTATAAAAGAGTAGTACCTTGAACTTGCATCCTTCTCCCTGAGGCAGAAATCTGTTACTTTCACCTGTGCTCCCCTGAAGCTCATTGCAGCCCCGTCAGCGGTTTCCTCTGACCCTTTGTTTTTCCCTTCCCTTTTTGCAGCCTTGTCCTGCGCCGCTAATAGCCACTACGAAATCTGCGCCGACTCCTGCTCTGTGGCCTGCGCTGGGCTCTCTGACATCACCAAGTGCCCCACTACCTGCGCTGAGGGCTGTGCCTGCGACGCCGGCTTCTTCTTCGACGGGGAGGGCTGCGTCCCGATGGATCAGTGTGGCTGCTACGATCATGGACGCTACTACAAGGTGTGATACATTTGGGTTTATGGGGGGTGGCAGGACCCATGTAGCTCAGTGGTTCACTTGTTTCACGTAATGGTGTTATTGAGGGGGTTTTTATTTTGTCTGCAAATTTCTTCATATTGTAACGGAATGACATGCATTTTAAAACGTTGTATCAGTTCCTGGGGAATATCTCATCGCACCTCTGATATTTGAGTGCTTTCTATGCGGATTTTGTTGCGTTGAGTAACAGTGATGGTGATGAAAATACAAGCCAGTTTCTCTCTCTCTCAGCCAGGAGAGGTGGTCTACGAGGACGAGTGTCAGCAGAAATGCACCTGCAATGCTATAGATGGCCTGGTGTGTGAGGCCCACTCCTGCCCAGCTGGAACCCAGTGCCTGATCAGAAACGGAATCAAGGCCTGCTTTAACACAGGCAAGCTGCCCTCATCCCTCCCAAACTCACAACTTGGAAGTCAAGGGCTCTAAGAATACTAGCCTCCACATTCTAAAAATTACCCTTTAATGGCAGTGTGACCAAAATCAGAAAAGCAATATGTAGATTAGACAAGGCTAATAAACCTTAAATTCTACTCATGTTTTAGTTTCTTGATTCTGATACTGTGAATCCTTGCTTTAGCTGTAAATAGCTGTAAAACTTGTAGTACTCTTGAACACAAAATATTGTATTCTTATGGGACATACATGTCTATCCATGTGGTTAACAAGATTAGGGTACAGAAGGTGACAAGGGATTGGGGGTTGCTCACTTTTTGTGCATCCCATAGATCCTTGCAAAGACGCCAACTGCCGTGTGAAGGAGACCTGCCGAGTGGAGAAGGGACAGGCAGTGTGCGTACCCCAGTACACAGGCACCTGCTGGGCCTGGGGTGACCCCCACTACCACACCTTCGATGGCTACAACTACGACTTCCAGGGCACCTGCACCTACATCATCTCCAAGACCTGCGGCAAAAACGCCGCCGGCCTGGTGCCCTTCTCCATCGAGGAGCAGAACGACAACCGCGGCAGCACCGTGGTCTCCTACGTGCGGGAGGTGGTGGTCTTCGTGTACGGCTACAAAGTGACCATGCTGAAGCAGCAGTATGGGCGGGTGATGGTAAGCCCCGCCTCCACGGAGCTCTGCCTACTTGTGTACACAAACACAAAGCCACACCTGTGCGTCAGAAAGCCTTTGCCTAAAAGCTCAGATTAATAAGCAGTGAGCCCCCCCTCTGAAATCTTTCCCATTTCAAATCCCTTGCCTTGCTCTTTTGCTTGTCGGTTAGTGAGATGTTATGACTAGAGGACACAACAAACGCCGACACTGCCGATGAACTGGAAGGCTGCTCTAGGAATGAGGAGGGGTCCATCATCAATAAGCAATATGGTCGTGTCCCTGCCCTCAGGTCAACGACGAGCTGGTCAACCTGCCCGTGATCATCGATGGGGGTCAGCTGAATGTGTATCAGAGTGGCATCATGGCCGTCCTGCAGACAGACTTTGGCCTGACCGTCTCTTACGACTGGAACTGGCACCTGGTCATCCAGCTGCCCAGCAGTTACTACGACAGCGTGTGCGGGCTGTGCGGCAACTTCGACGGGAACGGCAACGACGAGATGAGGACGCCCGACGGCACGGCGGTGTCCTCCGTGATCGACTGGGCCAAGGCCTGGCGGGTGCAGGACAAGCAGGACGCCTTCTGCTGGGACTCCTGCCAGAAGGACTGCCCCACCTGCGACGGCAACGTCGTGAAGCTGTACGAGACCGAGGCCTACTGCGGCGCCCTCACCAAGAAGGTGGACGGGCTGTTCCAGCAGTGCCACGTCAAGGTGGACCCCCGGGCCTTCATGGACAGCTGCGTCTACGACATGTGTCAGAACCAGGGAGACAAGAAGATGCTGTGCCAGGCGCTGACCTCCTACGCCAACATGTGCCGGCGCGAGGGCATCATTCTGAAGGACTGGAGGAAGCAGACGGGATGCCGTAAGTACAGCCATTCAGATCTAGTCAGCAACATGAGGCGTCACCTGATCTTGGCACAGTACCACAAAGAGGAAGTTTCTGATCCCTGTTTAGTCAATTCTGCCCTGGCTGTGTAGCAGCGCTTATTTTTGTTTTGCTCAGCGGAAACACAGCACATTGTGCAAATGCCCACGTCTCACCGATCATCTCGTTTCAGCCATGAACTGCCAGCCGCTGAGCCACTATGAGCCCTGCGCCAGCCCCTGCCCCGTGTCCTGCCCGTACCCCGATAGCCGCCCCACGTGCAACGGGACCTGTGTGGAGACCTGCGAGTGCGACCCAGGCTTCGTCCTGAGTGCGGGCAAGTGCGTGCTGGCGAGCACCTGCGGGTGCTCCTACCAGGGCCGCCACTACCGACCCTACGAGCGCTTCTGGGCGGACGAGGGCTGCCACAAGCTGTGCGAGTGCGACCCCGCCCTGCGGATGGTGGTGTGCAAGGAGGCCAGCTGTAAGGCCAGCGAGGAGTGCTCCCTGGTGGACGGCGTCCGCGGCTGCCACCCGCTGACCTACTCCACCTGCATGGCCGCCGGCGACCCCCACTACTACTCCTTCGATGGACATGACTTCACTTTCCAGGGCACCTGTATCTACCAGTTCGTGGGGCTCTGCTCCAAGGACCCCAGCCTGGTCCCCTTCAAGGTCAACGTGCAGAACAATCACCGCGGGAGTAGGACTGTGGCCTATACCAAAGTCGTGGCCATTGAAGTCTTCAACCTCACCATCGTCATCAGCATCAACTACCCCAACAAAGTCCTGGTAGGTGTGGGACATGAATGTGTGGGTGGGCAAGGCTTTTAGCGTTGTGACACATGATTCTGATACCATGGAGCTTCAGCTTACCAGAAGCTTAAAACTTTTGGAGTTTAGACCACAGATCTAAATTCAGTAACTGATTCAGAAAATGAGCAGTAGTTAAGATCTCTCTAGTAAACAGCCTGAAGATCGTCTGGATCTCCCGGGCCAGGCAGAAGTATAATATGTTTACATGCTTTCTGAAGCGTGGATTAGAATTTCATAAGAACTTACATTATAAGTACAGTTACCTGCTGGAGAACACCATTCAGCTCATTTGGTTGCTCAGTAGCTAATTGTTCCCAGGATCTCATTAAGCTGTTTGCCTGATTGGAGGAAATTATCTTGCCGTTTCTTGAAAGAAGCCGGGTCATAGGTTTCAGCAACATGGCCGGGCAGCTTGTTTCATAGTCCCATGACCTTCTATATAAAGAAGTGTCCAAATCACCTCACAGCACCAGGTAGTTCCTTTGACACTGGACACAGCGCAAGTAACTGTACCTTTACACCTGTGAGGGCTGTAAAATGTTGCTGGCAGGTCTTGCATATATGATTGTCCCTCTGCCCCCGACCCCAGGTGAACGGCGAGCTCATCTCCTTGCCCTTCTACTACGACGATAACAAGGTGGTGATGTACAAAAGCGGCGCATGGGCTGTGGTGCAGACCGACTTCGGCATGAAGGTGCAGTTCGACTGGAGCAACGTGGTCACCGTCACCCTGCCCAGCACCTACAAGGGGGCCGTGTGCGGCCTGTGCGGCAACTACAACAACAACCCGGCCGACGACTCCAAGATGCCCGACGGCCGGAGCGCTCCCAATGTGCAGACCTTCGGCGACAGCTGGAAGGTGGGCGAGGTGCCGGGCTGCTCCTCGGACTGCTCGGGGCCCTGGTGCAAGGTCTGTTCCGACTCCCAGAAGGACGTCTACCGGGCCGAGCGCTACTGCGGCGCCATCGTCAACAAGAACGGGCCCTTCCGGCAGTGCCACGCCCGCATCGACCCCGCCCGCTTCATGGAGAGCTGCGTGTACGACGCCTGCCACTACAAGGGCCGTCCCTCCGTCGTGTGCGACGCCGTGGCCGCCTACGCCGCCGCCTGCCAGGACGCCCGGGTCCCCATCCAGCCCTGGAGGAGCAGCAGCTTCTGCCGTAAGTCTTCCTGTCCGTTCCCAACCCTCCCGGAGCTGGGAGCGAGGCTCTTCCTGTCGGGACCGTAGGCGAATCACCGTGTCTCGCTCCTCCCTGCAGCCGCCACCTGCCCGCGCAACAGCCACTACGAGCTCTGCGCCACGGGCTGCCCCGCCACCTGCCACGGCCTGTCCGCGCCCGAGGGGTGCCGCCAGCCCTGCAGGGAGGGCTGCCATTGCGACAACGGCTTCCTGCTGAGCGGCGAGGAGTGCGTGCCGCTGGCGGAGTGCGGCTGCGCCTACGGCGGCCGGTACTACAGGAAGTGCCAGGTGTTCTATCCCAAGGGCCACTGCAACGAGCGGTGCAAGTGCGGCGAGAACGGGGCCGTCTCCTGCACCAAGTTCTCCTGCGGCGCCCAGGAGGAGTGCAAGGTGGTGGACGGGGTGCGTGGCTGCTACCCCGTGGGGGAGGGCAGCTGCGTGGCCTACGGGGACCCCCACTATGTCTCCTTCGACGGGCACCGCTTCAACTTCCAGGGCACCTGCACCTACACCCTGGCCAAGTCCTGCGACAGCAGCGGCCAGCTGGTGGGGTTCGCCGTTGAGCAGGAGAACGTCAAGTACGGGAACCAGAACGTGGCGGTCACGATGACGGTGGCGGTCATCGTCTACGACTACGTCATCGCCATGAGCGAGGGCATGCGCTGGTTCGTCCTGGTGAGTATGACTGCCGCCAGCCTCGCGCCCCACTTCCGTTCCACAGAGGAATCCGAGCGGGACTCCCCTTGCAGAGCAAATCGATCCGCCCCGGTCTTTCCGAGCTGCCGTCTCAAACATGCAAGCATACTCTTGGTGCGAGATCACACATGAACGGTCTTTACAAAAGTTAAATACATGACGTTTATAAACAGGACAGGAAGCAGCAAGAAACCAGCCTCCCACGTGATGACCAGTTCATCTAAAGGCTACTTCATGGTGAATGTTGCTCAGAATTTCCACACAGTTGGAGTTAGTGAAGTTGGCACATGGGGCTGCAATGCATTGAGATGTGTGGTTGTTTGATGTAAGTGATGTGGAATATCAGTATGGGTGAGCTGTAAAGAAATCTATGATGCAGTTCTCGCACCAGCAGAGGGTACTGAGTCACGCAAGCTTGTTCCCTTGGTTGGGCTCAGCAATGCCAGGAAGGTAAATGCTGCTAAGAGAAGGTAAAAGGAGCGAGTCGGGTGCAGAATTCGCCAAGTCTGACACGAACAGAATGGATTTGCATTGGGAAATTCCTTCGCCTGCTAATTCTGGGATCTCTCCTTGTCTTGTGCCGGCAGGTGAACGACGTGAGGTACAACCTGCCCCTCTTCCTGGATGGGGGCAAGATCACGGTCAACCAGCAGGGCGGCAACATCGTCCTCCGGACGGACTTCGGCCTGCAGGTGTTCTACGACTCCATGTTCTACGTCAGGGTCACCGTGCCCTCCACCTACCGGGGCAAGATGTGCGGCCTGTGTGGTAACTACAACAGCGACGGCAAGGACGACCTCCTGCTGCCTAGCGGCGCGCCGGCCGCCAGCGTGGACGCCTTCGGCAAGGCCTGGAGGGTGGGCATGGGGGGAGGGGCCGGGCAGTGCAGCGAGGGCTGCGGTGACCGGTGCCACGTGTGCGAGCAGGCCAACGAGGCGCTCTACGGGCAGGAGGACGCCTGCGGGCTGATCAGGTCCACCCACGGGCCCTTCCAGGCCTGCCACGGCAAGGTGGACCCGGAGCTCTACTTCCAGCAGTGCGTGTTTGACGTGTGCGCCCTCAACGGGGACAAGGGCACCCTCTGCAAGACCATCCAGGCCTACGTGGCCGCCTGCCAGCTAGCCGGCGCGGACGTCAAACCCTGGAGGACCAAAACCTTCTGCCGTAAGTCCAGGCGTCCCAGCATGCACCACGGGGGACCACCGCAGTCCCGTGGCTTGAGTTCGCCTGCACCAGCTGCACCTGTCAGCTGCCCCCAGCTTTGATTCTGTTCAGTGTATGATAATGAGGGTTTTACTTAGAGGACAAACAGCAACAAGGCAGACTGTCTTAATACAAGTAAAGTAAATAAAAGATACAGGTACAGTAACAGCAATAAAACAAAACTGAAAGACAATATAGAAAGTTAGGCTTTTAGCTTTGATTTACAGGCTTGTTGTGGTCCCTTACAGATGAGTCTCAGTCCAAACTCAGCTCAATGTCTGTAGGATTTATTTTGGGTTACACACCCAAAACAACCCAGAGCCTAGGGAAAGTGGGCTTTATGAAGAGAGGTCATAGGTCATCTGGAGTTATACCATTCAGAGCTTTAGATGTCTCATGAGAACATCACAAGCCAGGAGATTAACTCTTCCTGTATTCCAATCTGCTCCTATCATGAGATTTTCCACAGTAAAATGTCCTGCTTCTTGGCAGAGAGATGACTGTGGACCAGTATCTCGTTCTGATGGCTTGTGCATGGCCTGATGCAGATGATGGTCCAAGGATTAGGTGCTCAATTGAATATGGAAGCACTCTGTAGTTGAGAAATGCCCCTTGCAATAAAAGGGACAGAACTCCACAGCAAATAGAGCCCTTCTGTGTTTTTATTTGGTTCCTCGTCCCTGACTGACTGCGCTCTGTTCTGTCCCCGGACAGCGGCTACCTGCCCGGCCAACAGCCACTACGAGCTGTGCGCCGACACCTGCAGCTCCGCCTGTGCCGGCCTGGTCAGCAGGACGCCCTGCAGCAGCCGCTGCTTCGAGGGCTGCGAGTGCGACCAGGGCTTCATGGCCGACGGCGACCGGTGCGTCTCCGTGGAGGCCTGCGGCTGCGTCTACGACGGCGCTTACCTCCAGGTGAGAGAACGGCCCAGGACGGCCAGCGCCCGCAGGCCGTGGTTTCCAGGGGGCTCCCCACCTGCAGTCCCCCGGAGGGACAGGATGTCCACTGCCGAGCTAACAGACCTGGACAGATACTGAAGTGATCGCAAGTCTGTATTGATGCATTGTGGGTGACCGATAAAACCTGCTGGTTTGTGGCTCAGCTATACCATCAGTACCTTTACAGCCTCGTAGCCTGATCAGAAAAACCTCAAAGCTTTCAGCTGTAAGTGGTTTGGTGGACCAGAAGTGTCACTCTGGATCCGAACTTCAATTCCCTTGCTCCAACATGATGACTGGAGATACAGTGGTGTAGGAGATGCTGATTTAATCTTGTTATTGAAGACCCCAGGGCTTTGTAAAAGTTAGCCCCAGTGTCCTGGCTAAACTCCACACTGGGCTGTACAGTCCTTCACCTTAAATGCTTCTCCATACTCCACCTGCTGCAGCAGTTCCTCTTGCCTCCTGCTGGTTGCTGTGAAGGCAGAGCCACTGGTGCAGCACGTCTGCTGTGCATCTCTCAGGTGGGGTTGTTCAAACTACTATAGTATTACATACTTTTTACACTTTAATACTGTGAAAGAAATGAAAGGATGAAAGGCGCTATACGAAAGCAGGGAACCACTGCTGATTGCTGGTCTCTGGCCTCCGACAGGTGGGGCAGTCAGTGGTCACGAAGGGCTGCTCTCAGAAGTGCACGTGCCAGCCCACGGGTGGGGTGGTCTGCGAGAAGATGCAGTGTGCCTCCGGGGAGCAGTGCAGCGTCCGGGAGGGCGTGCGCGGGTGCCACAAGCAGGAGGGCAGCTGCACGGTGAAGCCGGGGGCCCACCTCAAGTCCTTCGACGCCATGGAGGGCAAGATCGCCAGCGGCGGGGCCTTCGAGATCGCCGCCCTCTGCGACCGCGGCTCGGCGGAGTGGTTCCGCGTGGTTGTGGACGTGCGGCTGTGCGTGAAGGGCAGCCTGGCGGCCGCTGTGACTGTGTACGCCTTCTTCGACGACACCGTGATCGCCGTCAACAACGAGCACCAGACCTGGGTGAGCAGGGGAGCATGGGAATGAGGACTGCTGGGAGCGTGACACGGCTCAGGAATTCAGGGGGCTGCTCGGAACGCGGGTCAGGCACGGAGATCCAGTCGACTGATTTTTTTTCGGTCTAGACGTAGTTGGGAGCTTACGAGCACTGCAAGAGGCTTGCCTGATCCCTGCCAGTGAGGTTTAACCCTAAAAAGTAACACGTTTCGCTACACTGAGAAGCGGGAAGCTAGGAAACGTGTCCCGAAAACGCTGCTCTTCCTCTCTCTCGCCGCAGGTGAACGGCAAGCAAGTGGCGCTGCCGCAGAAGCTGAAGAACGAGCTCTCCATCCACATCTCCGACAAGCTGGTGATCATCGAGAAGAAGTCGGCCGTGCGCGTCTCCTACAGCGTGACGCAGGAGGTGACGGTCGCCGTCAGCGCCCACCTGGCCGGACGCACGTGCGGGGCCTGCGGCAACTTCAACGGCGACGGCAAAGACGACATGGTCACGGCCGGCGGCAAGATCTCCGTCAGCGTGTCGGAGATCATCGACTCCTGGAGGGCCAAGGACTTCTCCGGCTGGTGAGGCCCGCGCCGCGCCCCGCCTCGCCGGAGCAGGGGATCGTGGGTCACCACAAGCCCGCTGCGGAGGGGTCGTCTCCATTGCTCACCACGGCAACCAGCAGGAACAGAAATTGAACACACCGTTGTACTGATACGGCAACTGTGGAGAACCCCCTGCAGCACAGAGCACATCGGGGGGTGGGGTTAATGCCAAGTGCGTCTGGTGTGAGACTCATGTGCCTCGCCCTTCATAGACTGCGGACCCTGACGTTAGCACACAGCCCTGTCTGCGTGGTTTCGTGCTTCATATCTAAAGATATGGCGGCGGTAAAATATTTAACGGTAGTTCAATCCCTAGCAAGTGCGTTAAACACAGTCAGAGACCGCTGTTAACATGCACAAACCGCTCGTTTTAATCCTGTCTTACCGAGAGAGGGCAGGAACAAGCACGCGGTCCCTGAATTTCTGTTTTTGTACACCTGCCATTGGAAAATGAATATACCGCCATCGCAACCGGCGGCCACAGACACCGCGCTCACAACAGACAGGCCCGCGTCTGCGCATGAGCAGACCTCACGCGTCCCCGGGGAGCGGAAGGAGGGCTTACGGGGCGCATGCGCATTTCGGAGGGAATCCACGTGTCCGGTGTGGCACTGAACTGGTTACAACGTCTGTCCGGATCGGGGAAGGGCTCCGTTAAAAACCCGTGGTAGGGAATTTCGTTTCGGAGTGTTCCGTCTCCCTGTGTCATTGCACCCGTCCTGCGCGAGGCTTGTGAAGCCGCTTTTCCGGGAAGATCAATGTTATTTCGGTCGCGATTCGTCACTCGCGAGCACGCGCTGAGTCCTCCCTGTGAGCCGTTCCTGAACAGATGTTTTATTAAAGGTGAAGGAACGCGGCTTGTGAAAAATCACAACCGGCAAGACCACATGAGACACAAAATCGCATGAGCAATTTATACCATAGCTAGCACTGTTGGAACCCTGAAAAACTAATACATTTAAAATACTTTTGTCTTTTTTTTTTGCAGTGGCCTGTGAGATCCCGGAGCAGCTTCCCTAAAGAATTAGTCAGATGTGGAATGTCGGGTTTTTTTTTTCTCGTGGGTTTACTCAATCAAGTTTCTTGTAAACAAGTTTGTTTAATTGTTTGTTAAATGCTCCTTCTGGTATACATTTTTTTTTCTCTTCAGACATTTAAAATATAAAATAAAATATATGCAAAAATAAAATAAAAGGTTGTTTTTAATTCTTCGTAAATATTGCGTGGTAAAGTCTCTGCCTTCACTCGGGAATATTTCCAATCGGTTTGAGTTGTGTCCAGTCGCTCCACAGCAGAGTTCCCCAGTCCTGCTCCTTTAGAGCCAGCCCAGGGTTTCTGTCCTGCTGATCTTGTAATGACCTGTATATTGTCTTAACTGACCAATTTAACAGCTCAGTTGGAACACCTGCAAACACACTGGCACTCCGGGACCAGGAATGGCTCCCTGTGCTGCAGGATAACTTTAATTCAAGGGTTCCTAATACAGGTCCTGGGAGATCCAGACCTGGTTTTCACTGCAGCTGAGCTCTTGAATTAAATCCTTAATTGAACCTTAATTGAAGTCACTTGATTAGAGGCGTTGCAAGGATTCTTTCTGTTCTGAGAAGTTCTGGATTTTAAGTTACTAAAGAAACCGAACAGTTAAAAAGGCAGCCCTCCGGTATGTGCAGAGACTGAACGCGAAGAGTTCAGACTAAACCTGTTATCAGGTCTGTTCAGGGCTGAATTATTCTATCGAGCGCAGAGCTGAGTGGACTCCCTGCAGAACAGGATTACAGAGACTGATCCGACTGGAAACCAAACGAAAGATTTATCGAAATGCACAGACCGGGGTCTCCGACAATTAAATGGTAAGAAGATCAGAAGCCCACTTGTTTTACTGCGGTATTTTTTAAGAATAAAGATTTCTCAGTCCCGGAGGCCCAGCGTGCTGCGGATTCCCGCGGTTTGGACTGGGCTGTGAATTAACCGAGCCACGCGAGACTTCCGAGACCCATAGTCGGTTTAAATTCAGATGTGCCCAGATGAAATGGACGCTTCTGTTTCTGCAGCGTCTTCCAGTATTAAAGAATAAAACTGGAAGCGCTTTAGTTAAGTCAAAACGAATAACAGAATTAAAGTGACACCTTCGTGTTATTAGATTTTCTGATCGTGGAGCATTGTAGAGGTTCTACATTTTAACGAAAGATATTAATTTGCACGCTGTAGAGGGCTCCCCAGCCGACTGATTGTTTTCATTGACCCGCTGTCGCATGAACGGATGTTTTCCGTACTACAGCCGTCGAATCACGTTTTCACGTTTAACGACCATGAGCCCTGATCGCGCCGTAGACACCGTCAAGTGCCCTACTGTATGACGAGAGATCGTTGTTTCATTTCTATTTGACTGCTTTCATCACAATAAAAAAAGAAACGCTTGCGGCTGAGCCTTTTCAAAAAGCAGAAGACGCGTTTTATCAGAGCAGCAGGAAGCGACGGCGACCAAGGTCACTTTCAGAACTCTTCTTGGTTGTTTTTTTTTGCTCTAAACCGACCTTCTTCTTTCAGAGGGTTTTATATAGGGCTGCACGTGGCGGACCGCAGGCCAGCAGCAGATTAAAACGACTCGATTCGCCGCCTCGTGCCCTGGGGACGGGTCGCGGGACAGTTCCAGGCTGAGCACGAGCTCGGCCTCCCTCGCCCAGCCCAGTTCTGCAGTTCACTTCTAACTTTTATTTAACATCACTTTATCTCAAAGAAAAAATAGTCTTTCGCTGGTCGATCAATTGGAGCTGCTCACACAGCGGTTAGTCCGCATTGCTGCTGGCAGCGCTGGGGCCCTGGGCTCTGTTCCAGGGGTTCTATCTGTGAGGAGTTGGCATGTTCTCTCTGTGTTTGTATGGCTTTGTGCTCCTCCAGTTTCCTCCCACAGTCCAAAGACATGCTGGTGGGTTAATTGCTTCTGAGAAGACTGGCCCTGGTGTGAGTGAGTGTGTCTGTGTGTGTCCTGTGATGGACTGGTGTCCCGTCCCGGGTGTGTGAGTGTGTGTGTCCTGTGATGGACTGGTGTCCCGTCCCGGGTGTGTGAGTGTGTGTGTCCTGTGATGGACTGGTGTCCTGTCCCGGGTGTACCCTGTCTTGCGCCGTTTGCTTGCTGGGATAGACTGCAGTTCCCCCATGGCTCTGATCTGGATAAAGTGGTTAGAACATGGATGGATCACATGTTGACATTCATCTGGACCGTCAGGCTTATCTTTGATAGGGAACAGTGCGGCACTGTGACCCTTTGCATTGATGGAGTTTCTGAAATGCCCACTGGCCAAAATATTAGGAACTAACTACCACAGTGGGGCCCTGCAAGCAGCTCAAACAGGATGTGGCCATTATTCCTCAGCATTCCGAGAAACCCGAAGTCCCTGCCCCATCTCCACAGTTCCAATATGAGGGACTGAACTGCACGTCTGAGCCACTTGCACATTTTTCAGTGGCATTGAGGTTGGGGGCTGTTCTGGGCAGGAAAGGGGTTGAAAGTTCTTCCTACCTGCTCCCAAGCGAATCACGCAAGATCAGAGTCTGCTCTGAGCCTGTCCATTTGAGTAGGGCGAGGTCCTAATAATTTGGCCAGTAGCTGCATAAGCAAAGCAACAATGGGTCTCATGTTACACAAACAGTAACCGGATAGGTGCCTATCAGTACTGCAGAGTGGTGTCAGTCTGTTCAATGAAAGATGCACTTTCCAAAGAAAAGAGCCTTCTCAACAACTGTACTCTTCATCTTTTATTGTGAAAAACAAATTTGCTTTGGATGAAACTGCTGGAAGAAGTGAAAGCTAGTCTGATGTACAGGAAATTATTTATCTTTAACAAATTGGGGAACCATGCAAAAATTTGAAATGGAGTCACAATTTTTACTGTAGAGAATTTAGAAGTGTTAACGTGTCCTAAGATGTGGCTTTTCATCTCCAACAATCTGAAAACTCTTAACAGATGAAGTCCAGGTATTGTACTTTAACCACAGTACTTTAACCACTGGGCCAGCTGTCCTCCGGTTGCAACAGGACTGGACCTGAACCACTGGACCAGCTGTCCTCCTGGTATAACAGGATTGGACCTGAACCACTGGACCAGCTGTCCTCCCGGTGTAACAGGACTGGACCTGAACCACTGGACCAGCTGTCCTCCCGGTGTAACAAGACTGGACCTGAACCACTGGACCAGCTGTCCTCCTGGTGTAACAGGACTGGATATGAACCAGCTTGACCAGCTGGATTCCAATTTTAATAAATTGGTCTCTAAAAATGATAAATAACAGGAATATAAAGATAGAATAAAAATAGCAATATTGTGCTGCGATTTCCTCTAAGATTATAAAATAAGTGTGTAGTAAAATTAATTACAGACCAATTTAATGCAGTTTTGCTTAAAGAACAATTTGATAAATATATACACCATACTTTAGAAATAAAATATTATTCGGCAATAATGAATAAAACAACAGTTAAAAACATTACTGAAAGACTACAACTATTCAACAAATATATTACTATTAGAAAATATTGTGATTTTTTTAAATGTCATGTAACTTTAAAATGTTTTCTGTACTGCATTGAAGTTTCCTGTAACTTCCTTTGGCATTATTTTTTGGCATTATCTAACCTGCTAGAATAGCATTGAACTAATTCCTAGATCCACTCAGTCCAAATGAGTTTTTGAGAAGCCTCTACATTCTCTCAGGATCATGGCTCTGGAGTGTTTTTCCCCCTCCTGGGCAAGAGAGGAGAATGTCCAGAACAGCAGGTTTTAACAAACTCAGGGCTACAGGGAACCAAACATAATTGCTCCTTGGTCTCTTGCGTCTGCACACGGCTCTGCCTCGTGGACATTCCTATTTGTCCACACGTCTGAGGTCACTGTAGATGTCGTTCCTGACGCCCTGCAGATCCTGTTCAGACACACACAGACGTGAAGTGAGTAAGAAATGAAACAGCACTGAGAATTAGAACTTTAAAACATGCATCTGCAAGCCCATATTCCAGAGAAACACAGGCTCGTCTGTTCCTGTCCACGTCTGCGGGACTGAACCGAGCCAGTTACTGTCTTCATGAGTCCGGATTCACAAGGTTCATTGTCCTAAACCGTCAGGACTCGCAGAGCTCACAGACACTGACTGCAAACTCTTTTCAAACGCCTGAGCCCCTCAGGCTTCCCCAGGACCAAGAGCTCTGTGTGAGCTAGGTGCCTTTCATTAAACAGCAATGGACCAAAAAAAAAAAGAATCACATCTGCTTTCAAACCGTTAAAGCAGAGAAAGAGGAACCAGAAGTAGCCTGCATCTGCTGCTGGAAATTTATTCCGGATAAAGAAGCCACGTCTTTGTGTGGTTTAAACCTTCTGATTTCTCTCTCAAAAAAAAAAAAAACCGCAGCTTGTTAAATTCCACAACTCTAAACTTTCCACGCTGTCAAGCACTGAGGACTTAAAGGGGAACTACAGAACCAGCCTCTGCGATGGTTATTAAATCTCAGGTAACAAAATAAATTAATTGATGATATTGCAAAAGATTTCGAACTAAGCAGAAAACCATGAACTTTGTGAAAGTTCATGCGGATTGAGATGTGAAGTGACCCTTCCTGCTCACTAGTCACTGTGATGACTAATGTCCTGTGATGTACGAGCAGATAAGCACAGGCTGTGGAGCAGATAGTTCACCACAGAAAGGTTCCAGTGTGATCTGCATGCAGCGTTAAGACTGCTTGTTTACAGTGTCACAGGGCCGCTTCACCTCACCGGAAGTCTTATTGCCTCGTTCTGAAACGCAGAATATGGTGCTGTGCATACCGGGAAATAGTCTTTTTCTGTGGTGTGAATTGGAGGTTTTACAAATTACAAGTGTTGAAGCTCCCCATTAAAGGCAGGAGCAAAAAAAACAGTGATTTCCTCCAGTAAAACCTCAGTCTGGTTACAGAACCGTATGCAAGTGGGAGACCTCCTGGCACCCAGAGCTCCAAACTCACCACCTGGAGGACGCAGGCATTGATCCCCCTATCTCTTGCATGCCAAGCAAGCGCTCTACCATTTGAACTAGACCCCAGCGGAAAAACTGAACTCGTAGTACCTGATATGTTGATTCTGCGTCGTCCTTCACTTTTCTACTCGCTGACATTGATATGTTTCCCTTGGTTGCTGCCACAAAGAGAGAGATGGAGGGAGGGAGAGAGATGGGGTTTGGGGGTACAGGGATCAAGCCACACCACAAGAGAACTGTTAGGATACAGGTATAGACAGTCCCCTTATATCCATCTCTATAGCTTTGTAAACACTCTCCCAGAGAATGTTTAGAATATAGGAACAGCAACTAATTTAGTGTGCATTGTGGGAATGAATATTAAGTAGTTTATTATCTACAGCACTACACTAGACAGACCCCCCTGTAACTTCTCTTTACTGCTTGTAACACCTCACCAGTCTGAGAGCTAGCTGGACCACATATTGTTGTGACTTTTGATGCACACTCTTCAGTTTAGGGTGAAATTTAAAAGGATTGTGGATTGTGTGCACAGATATTATACAGTGTATATATATATGTGAGTGTAAAGGCTACTGTGGATGATTCCTACCTATACTTACATCACCACTGTCTTCTGTGGGATGCAAAGTGCTGTAGAAATGGAAGGAATTATTACTATTAAAGCTGGTCCATACAAATAACGTAACTTTCATGCACTGACCTTGCAGGGCTTCCAGGTGGTTCTTCTTCATGCGAGAGACGAAGCAGAAGACGGAGAGGGCGATGAGGAGGGTGAGGATGATGTCGCCCACGATGATGCCCACGATGGTGCCAGAGGCTAGGTGATAGCACGATTGGCAGTCTGAAATGGAGAAGGAGTGAGGGAGAGAGCGGGAGAGGGGAGAGTCTGTTTTGGCTTCCTGAAGTCACTCAAGCCCTATATGAAAGCCACGAAGTCTGCTGCTTGATGGTATGTTTCGAGAAGCCTGGAGAGATATTTTATGTTGCTGTTCATGCAGATCCCTGCATAAACAAGGAATCATACCATTTCCTACAAGAAAAGGCTTTTTGGACTGAATGGTGTATTAATTCTTGAATTAATTGATGGACTTTGATAAATGCAAATGTTTCTGAGACCCTTTTAGATATCGTAGTAAGAAACAGCAACATGCAGGAGAAAGAAGAGATGACAGGGGGCAGATACGGAGATACGGAGAAGGACATGCAGAGATGGCAGAGGGAGAGATGTGCCTGGTCATTGTCGGACACAGGTGCTGATAAAGACAAGAAAAATACAATAATATACTCACTTTCTTGTCCAACCACAGGACCTGGAGGAAAAAAAAGAAATAAATACCAGTTAATAAATATGGCTTCAGACTCCCGTCCATCCTTCTCCGGGTGGTGTGGTGGTCGAAAATGAAGCCAGACTATCCTGGAAATGGAAAGGATGAAGTTGGAACATCTGAAAAGAGAGAGAAAGAAAACGAGGAGAAGGAGGGAGAGCATAGAAGACTGTTGGGATCACTAGTAAGGAGTCATTCGGCACTTCTAGCCGGGTGGGCGGTTAGTAGTTAATTGATTCCAGCCAACTATTTCTTGAAAGAAAAACCGGGTTTTGGCTTCAACAACTTTGGTGGACAGCTTGATCCACACTCCTACCACTCTTTGTATAAAGATATGCCTCCTGTTCTCAGTTTTAAATGCACTTCCCAGCCCTTTCCACCTGTGTCCCCTGGCTCAGTTTAAGAGGTTGTCTGGCTTGACTTTGAGGGCTTTGAATACTTGTGTGAGTTATTTAAGACTGTAAAGGCTTAGTTTCTCCAGCCTGTCAGTGTAGGACATTCCTTTTTATCATGAAATGTATCAGTTTCTCTTCTCTGGACATGTTCCAGAGCAGCAGTGTATTTTTATAATGTGCCAACCAAACGTGTACACAGTATCCCTAATCAAGCCTCACTAGTGCTTTATACAATTTAACACAACATCTCCTGTTTTAAAGATGCACGCGATGTGTCAGCTCAAACACCCAGGTGCTTTTCAAAGGCAGCTTCTGTTAGATCAGCGGTTCTCATTGTGTGTTTCTGCTACTCACAGGGGTCTAATTGCATCTCTGCTTCGCTCCAACTAACCAAAAAAGGTCAGAAGAGCAGGCCAGCTGACGATCTGGCAGCGGAAGAGCATGAGATACAGGGGAGCACTTTGGGGTATCTCGAACACATCAGCTCGCCCAGCGGTACCCAGGACTCATCTGCAATTCGCTTCAAACCTGCGACTTTGATGCCCGTTTCTGTCTGTGGGCAGTACATAAATGGCCGTGCAAGAATTGTTTCTGGTACTGGAGGGCGCCCAGCTCAGCGGTCTTTTTATATGCGTGGCAAAGCGCGAGTCTGAGACATCATGCCCACTGACAATGGCCTTGGTCTGCGGGCTCTGCTGGGCTTCCTTCCTGAGATTGCACAGGTTGCACAAGAGTGCAGAAACTGGGCCCACCATCAGAAGGACACTGACGTTAATTAACAACACGCCCTGCTAACACAGGGCACAGTCCTGGACCCTGCTGTCAGAGGCAAAACCTATAAGAGAATATCAAAAAGAGAGAGGAAAAAATAAAGTTGTCCTCCATAGCTGGTGGGATAAAAAAAGATTTGGGAAAGGGGGAGGATTCATTAAGGCTCCCCAAAAATGAATTCTGCAGTCTCTTCCTACCCCTGCACCCCACCCCAACCCCCAGGCCTCCTGTGCCTTTGGGGAGCTCCGGAGCAGCCTATCCCAGGGGTGCTCATGGGCCGGGCGAAGAGTTTTCACTGAGGGCGAGGGGACCCCGCTCGGCTCCGCTGTCGCCTCACGATCCGGTTTCTCAGCCTCAGCTTTCGCCCAGTCCGCTGTCGCCATGCCTGCGAGCAGCAGCGGGGTTTTTTTGACACAGGAAATCGTGCTTCTCTCGCCGCTCTGCAGAGAAGTGCCATTGAGACACAAGTTCAGATCTTCAGGATCCTGCTGGTCTTATTGCTTCTGCGGCAGTTTGAAAGTCAATGTCATGCCAGGCAAAAGCTGCCGGATGGGTTAGGCAATTGAGGTTGAATGGGGCCGAGCTCAGGGACACAGGACTGCGAAACTGTTCGCGGTTTTGCTGCACCTGCCACCCGAAGTGAAACAGTATTGTAATATTTCCTCTACCAAGTCAGGAGATGAAAATCAGGCCACAGTCCTAGTTTCCCATTTCTGAAACAGGAATGCTGTTGCCTGAAGCCTCTTGCATGTGCTCTCTCAGTGTGTGTACAAGCACCCAAACAGATTTCACCGGCCCCTTTCAATACCGAACCTCGTCCACTCTAGACTTTCCTGTCAGCACTTATACACATTTCTGGGGGATTGTGACTAAAATCCTTTATGTGTACATCTCTCACAATTCACAACCATATTCAGCTTTTCCCCATCTTCCATATTTTTCAGCTTGCTCCGCTTTATCTATGGGATATAGCCGACAGATTCCACCTTGCCTGGGGTGAACAGAAACTTTCACAGGAGAGGGAACAAACGATCTCCAATAAAACATAACTTTATGGAGAAAATAGAAACAGTACCTACAGAATTAGACACCAACAACACACACATAATAAAGGTGCAGTAGACAATTAGAATCTGTATAAAAGGTCATTTAACACTTAGTGATTTTCTGTATACTCCCTTTTTGGTATGATGTGTTTCTGTTTCTTCTTGTTTGTAGGTGTCAGAAAAGGAATATTGTAAACATCAACATCACTACAGTCCACTATTTCACAACAGCATCACGCGACGCAGAGCCTTGAGCTGAAACAGGAGGCCAGACTCGTCAGGCGGAGAGACTTACCCAGCAGCCCAGCCAGGGGGGTGAGGACACAGAGCCATCCGCGGCCCATCGTGGACGGGTCAGCACCGGTCCGGCCCAGAGCAGAGCAGAGGAGAGGGGTGGGTTCTGAGCTGGGCGCTGCGCTGTCCGCTGGGCTGCGAGAGGGACTGGCCGGCCCCAGGCTCTGTGACAGAGTGCCAGGAACCCCTCCTGCTCAGGGCTGTGACATCACAGCGTGACCACTGTACTCACACCCGCCCCCACCCACACACAGCCGACTCGCTGCTCTGTCTCTCTCTCTCACACACACACTCACGCTGTCCTGCTGCTTCTGCTTCTGCTTCATCTTCCAACTGGACGCCGCTTTTCTCATGTTCGGCCTATATCCCTGTAACCAGCTGCTCTCCCCTGTAGAAGAGTGTCGATCGTCACAATACCCAGAGTCAGTGCGCTGTTACTGGCAGGAGAATTGACAAGGGGGGTGTGTGGGGTCTTCAGAGACTCACCAGCGTTACTAACGGGTGTTTGCCATGTGCTCCTGTTGTTTCAGGCCTGATCTTCAGTTTAGTCAAGAGCCACAAAGTCCCAGGGGTGACAATGGGCATGCAGAAGAAATGGAGAAGGATACCAGCCCACAGGAAGCTGGAGGTGCACTCTGAAGGCGTGCGTCCCTTTAGAAAATGAGGCTGTGTTAAAAGCCAGGCGAAGATGACGGTCAATAATGAGAGCTGCGCTGGGCAGCCATGGAGAGTACAAATAAGGAACTGTGCACTTTCCTCTTGCGCCGTCCCTGCCAGAGGGGGCCTGGAAAGAAAACCGAAAGAACAAGAAAACACAGACAGCACACTTGTAGACATGTTGGGTTGTGTTTGTTAGCTGGAGCAAGTCTCGCACACCCACATCCCGAGTCAAGGCCGATAGACAGCCTGGGAAGCAGTAACTGGCCAAGCTCCACAGCGCCCTCCTGTGGACTGGAGCGAATCTGGCCTAAACCAGCTGTCTGCTGGTTTATCTGGACCAGTTTAACAGCTTCTCCCAGCTCTTCAGGTGCTGCTGCGTTTCCAAAGCTCTGGAAGACGCTGATCGTGAATTGATCATTACTTGACTGATCGATACGAATATGAAAGGAATGAACATTACCAGGGTTAGGAGGTGCACAAACAGGAGCTGTGGATGCCACAAGCGCAACCTCGTCTCATGAAATGAAAGTGAATGAAGATGTAATGTGCAGAGTATGCGCTACGCCTCTGTGTCCGGAGATAAGGCCAGAACCCACCTATCAGGATGGCCATCGAGACCTGTTCTTGTTGTCAAGGTGACTGCCCCGTGCGGAGGACATTTATTTAGGTCGCTGCAGCTGTGGTTAAGCGTTGCCACGGCTACCAGATGCACCGCGAGAGGGTTTCCGTCCAGAAGAATGGCCCAGGTGCGAGCTGCCTCCCTGCAGAAACCACAGTCCGCAGAGGCTGCTCAGGACTGGGGTTAACCCTTCGTGCACCAGCACGGCGGCCGCTGAGGGCCCCCAAAGATACCCCACAAGACACCCCAAACCAAGTCAACACACAGCCTGCTCCAGGGCAGAGTCTTAGCACATGCACATCCATCTTAACTGTTGGATTGGTCCTCCTAATCAGTTAATGAAGGAAATAAAGAGGCTGTTGCTACAAAACTTTGCAAAGTAGGGGATTAAATACCCGTCTCTGTCTTCTGGTGTTTGAACTTTTCTTCCTCTTTGATGACTGATCTCTTATCCGTACTCTTGCTCTCTAGATGCATCTGTCTAACCTACACCTTGGACAATCCTGAGTGGCGTCTGTAACCAGCCGAAGACCTGGGCAGCTCTGAAGAGCTGTAATCACTCGTGCAGCCAGTAAGTCTAACACGTCTAACAAGTGGAGAGCCGACTGTGTGTTACTATGGTTTGCGCAGTTCTAGAAAGGGTGACAAAATCACAGTCTTTGAGGTGCACGCACAGTGCTTCTCTTAGAGAAGGGTCACAGTTGGCTCTGGTTCAGATGTGCTCACTCAGGAGCACTAGGGGGTGTTGTTTTGCTGCAGTATGATCAATCTGCATGTGGTGGCTCCAGAGAACATTACTAAGATCATAAGACTTAAAAAAAAATCTAAATTATTATTTAGAAAGCTGCATGAAATTATATTTATGGAGGATTTTCTGTGGGCAGAAAAGCACTGCTCAGACCATTGGGCCTGGAGATCTGTAGGTTTCCTTCAGCCCATGCTGTTACCTGTAAATACCTAATTGAACTTAAATTATTATATGATTTGCTTAATACTGTTTAGTCAGATGTAGGGAAGAAAATTCTGAATGAGCTAATCAAACCTTAAGGAGAAACTGCATAAAGATCTTTGTGCATAATCTGTTGGATAAAATGCACTGTAATTATTATTATTGGTGAGCACTAAGTGCAGAAAACAAATCTGCAAGCAGATCACAGACGCTAAATAACACTAGTGACTAACAGCCCAGGAAGCTTCAGTGTCAAACCTGAATGCCTCATATTACTGGGGTCCTGGGTTCAATTCCAGACCCGGGGTTCTGTCTGTGTGGAGTCTGTATGTTCTCCCTGGGTTCACATGGGTTTACTCTGGGTGCTCCAGTTTCCTCCCACAGTCCAGAGGCATTCTGGTGGGTTAAATGGCTTCTGTGAAAACTTGCCCTGGTGTATCTGTATGTGTCTGTGGCTGTGTGTGTCCTGTGATGGACAGGCGTCCTGTCCAGGGTGTCCCCTGCCTTGTGCTGTTCCTCGCTGGGTTAGACTCCAGCTCCCTTGTGACTCTGTACTGGATGAAGTGGTTAGAGAATGGATGGACCCCTAGCAGCAGAACAGAGAAGACTGACCTGCAGAAGTATGCTCAGCGCTGAATGACCCCCTGCTGGCTTTGAGCCGTCCGTCTTCATGTCTGAACGAGAGATCAGTGGGCGACCAGGAGCCTCAGGAAACTGAGCAGTGGAGGGGCCTGTTCAACAGCCTCCTCAGCCCGGCAGCCAGGGTAGAGGAGGTAAATGTCACCCAGCCTGCCCGAAATGAGTCACTAAAGCAGAGACCGCAGAGCGTGGTTTTTATTTCCATGGCTTATCGGCTCGATCGCCAGCACTGCTAGCATCCCTGATACAAACACAGAGGAGTGCTTCTGTCCCCCAGTTTCACAATGGAGAAACAACAGGCAGAACGCAGAACTGCTCTTTTTATTCCCACACACTCTCGCCTTTATCAGGAAGACATCGGACAGCATCTTTAAAAAAGGTCACTTTTTTTGTGACCCTGCTGATTACATGGTTGTGACCCCTCTCCTAAAGTTCTTTGAAACTTTAATTGGCCTCTAGGAAAACTGGCCCTGGTGTCAGTGTCTGTGTGTCCTGTGATGGACTGGCCCTGGTGTGAGTGTGTGTCTGTGTGTGTGTGTGTCCTGTAACGGGCTGGCCCTGGTGTGAGTGTGTGTGTGTGTGTCCCCTGTGACAGACTGGCCCTGGTGTGAGTGAGTGTGTGTCCTTGTCTGTGTGTCCTGTAAAACTCTGCACAGGTTCCAAATTAGTGACTGTTTAGCTCAATTAAGGATTCAGTTACATAAAGAGCCAACTCAACTACAGAGGCAGCCATGTCACCCTGCAACCCATAACTGAGAACCCCCTGAAGCCCAGGAGGGAGACTCCTGGGAAAGCTGAGGCTGCTGCTGCTGGAAGATGTGTTAGTGGGACCAGCAGGGGGCGCTCACCCTGCAGTCTGTGTGGGTCCTAATGCCCCAGTATTGTGACGGGGACACTAGACTGTAAAAAGGCACGGTCTTTTGGTCAGTGTAAGCAATTATTATAATTATTATTATTAAAGAGTGGGTTTGGAATGAAACAAAGCAGATCTGGGGTGTCACCTAAGTTGGGAACCCCTATTCTAATCCACACGTGGAGAGCGCAGAACCACCAAGCTCTCAACCAACATCAAAAGATAGACACAGAATCGTACCTCCAAAACATATCACCTTTTTTTATTTCAACAACAAAAATATAAAAATATTGGATATATAGGCACACAATACATCCCAGTGCACATAAATATTAAAAGTAGAATTTGAATTAAGTACACATTTGCTGAAAAATAAAATAAAAGTTAATTAAAATTAATTAAAGATAATTAATAAAAAACATATTTGCAATTATATAATGTCAAAAGATTCATCTGGGAAAAAAGCATCCAGATCTTCCCTCCCAAAAACCAGGCTCTTGAGACAGATGATTGTAGCAGTTTGTTCTCTAAGCGATTTGGAAGGAGACACCAACACCAGTTTGATCTCCAGACTGGGAGACCATTCAAGCAGCAGTGTGGAGGAGTGGCTAGGGCTTTGTGGCACTGGGGTTGTGGGTTTGAATCCCAGCTAGGTGACACAGCTGGTGTCCATGTAGGCACGGTGCTTCATACAGATTGCAGCAGTGAAATTCACAACTGTTTCAGGGGAAGAAGGCTTCAGTGTTGTCAGTTTTAATGCCTTAATGAGGTCAGGAGGTTTATATGAGGCAGCTGGGGAACTAAATTCACAGAACCTGATTTTTGGGAGATCCTGGACATCTTAAAGCGTGGGAATGAGGAGCTCTGTGTACCTACTGTATGGACACTGTGCGGTGCAGAGGAGAGAAAGAGCCGGGTCACGCCTCTTATAAAGTGAAACCATACAGAATGCCTGTAGTTGCAGCTAGCTGTGTTTGTTCGTGAAAGTACTTGTGAAAGTAGATAATACACAAACGTGGATTTTTCAATATGTCTGTCCTGTTTCTTCCGTCATTTTTATTTAGTAAACAAAATCCAAGGTGGTCCAAAATCAAGCAGGCTTCTGCTTGAGAACCGATTAGAACCGAATTGGCTGTATTTACTGATGAACTGATTTTGAACAGAATCTTCAGGTTGGAAAACCTGACCCTTGTGCCACTGCAGGGTCACTCCAATGTAGCTGAATGGGAGTCTGGTGCTGGGAGCTGGACGCCAAGTCAGTGTCAGTGTGGAGGGCTGGACAGAGGTTGCGATGACCAGCTGGCGTCACAGGCTGTCAGGCCTTGACATTCGCCCTGACATTCATGTAGACCTTGTCCGCTGTCAGAAAACACAGACGTTGTGTTGGCGTTAGTCAGTGCTAGGTTAACAGTCTTGCGCTATTGTAATTGGTTGGATATTGAAGAGATTGGTTAATTCCCTCCTCACTATCAAGACAGTTGCCCCCAAGACTGGACTCCCAGGTACATTCTTGGAAGAGCTCACACAGAACCAAAACCTGCCATCACACTTCAAAGGGCTTCAGTCCAATTTCCTTGGGTAGACTGAAGTTAAAATCTCATTTGTTCATCAATATCAATATGCATATCTTCTCAAACAACTGTTCCTTCACATAATTTACACTCTGTTGAAGCTGCTAGGTGTGCTTAATTCCGGAGAAGGAATTCTGCACTCCATGTTTTCAATTCCAGGTTTAGGAATTCCATGTCCAGTATTGTTAGGGATTCCCAGTCTGTTGAAACTTGTAATTTGGAAACACATGACTATTCTTTAGCTCATTTAATGAACTAATTCTAAGTTCTAAAGGTGTCATGAAAAACACAAACTAATCACACCAGGGCTGTTCAGTCCAGGACTATGAGCAGGTTCCGGTCCAGGACTATGAGCAGGTTCCGGTCCAGCTCGGCCTCAAGGAAAACAAATCAGCCTGTTGTTGCCTTAACTGGGCCAACTCAAGGACGAGTGGGAGACCTGGAAAGCTTGCAGACACAGATCAGACACCCCCGGGGGTCATGAGTTTGTCTTTACTTGTCACTGTTGTCCTAATGTGAAGAGCTCTTTGAGTTAAGTAAATCTGAAAGGCGCTATATAACTCCAATGCCGCGGCCTCTCGCTGCAGTACCTTGCTCACGCTTGTGTCTCTTCCGACTGGCGCAGTAATAGACGGAGATGACGATGAGGACGGTCAGCACCACGTCGCCTGCTATGATGCCCACCATGGTGCCTGGCTCAATTTTATAGCAGTGCCCGCAGTCTGGAGAGCAGAGAAAGAGGGAGAAAGAAAGGCCTTTCTTTAGGAAAGTTTAGAAACATCCAGAGTCAGCAAGAGAAGTTTGCAAACTCCTCCTAAAAAGATGCCAGTTGAGGCCAGATTATCAGGAGGGCTGGAATTTCTGAAACATACAGATGAAGCCAGACCCCTGGATGACTTTAAACTCCTTAGGGAAAGAAAGATATGATGGCACACCTGGAAGGTATGAGGAGCTGCTTGCAGGACCAAGGAGATGAGGCATTACTCTACCCATCATTCTCTACATTCCATGTTCTAGTAATCTGGGCTAACAAAGGCGAACCTCTCTCGTGAGGCCAGGTTTCTGTTTCACTGAATCTGCGCCTAGTTTGTTGTGTGGGGCGGGGGATCTCTCAGACTGACTGGAGATGAAACTGGGCCAATGTCTGACCTTTGAGCTGGAGGTGTTAGGGAAAGTCCTCGCTGGCTTAGTGCTGGGCTTTCTGGTACGGCCTGTGATTTAGAAGAACCCTTAGGATTGAGAGTGCCGTCTGGTCTTAACACAGAACTCTAGTCTGAGAGAGATGAAATCCACTCGTCCTCCGATTCCCTGTATCAAGCTCTTATATATTACCCTCTGTGAGAACAGTTACAAACAATAGGACTGTTCTGGCCTGTTTGGAAGTCAGTAGCTGATTTTTCCCAGGACTTTTTCCAGCCATTTTGTGAGAGAAGCCAGGGTATGAGCTTCAACAACATGGCTGGGGCATTTGTTCCTGACTCCCACCACCCTCTGTGTAAAGGGGTGCCTACTGTCCTGATTGGAGGACCTCATCCAGTTGTGTCAGGAGAGAAGCCAGAGTATCAGCTCACCAAGTAGCTCATTAATTTGGGGGCTTAAAAGAACAAAAAAAATGAAAACACACACCTACTTTCCCATAATCCTCAGATGCTTGTCGGGGAACAGAAAGAAGGGGAGAGAAAGAGAAAAACATGGTTAATCACAACTTCTTGACAGAAGCAAAACTATTCCTATATTTCAAGGGAGACTTTTCGATCTGATCGAAGTAGAAAGCAAGCTTGGGCACATTCGGAAGATTTCTTCACAAGGGGTTGTGGGAGTTGGGATCCCACTGCCTAGCCATGTGGTTGAAGGCGACTCCACCGGATCGTTCGAGAAACCCCTTGGTGGAATTCTGGGATCACTAAGCTGCAGGAGACTGAACAAGCGAGATGAACCCAGTTCCCTGCTCACGGCCGTTACTGATCTTGTGCTCTTCTGCTCTGGAACAGGGCTGGGACATCACAGGCTGTTTCCAGGCAATCTCTGCCTCAGCCAAATGACTCCTCTTTCCAGTCTGTAACGTGACAATGTGCAGCAGCCTGCAGGGACTGAAGCAGACTGTTGTGCCGAAGGTTTGAAGATGCATCATGGGTACTGGCCTCTGGACCACATCTTCTTCTTGGTGTGAGAAACACTCAGGGATCCGAGGCGCTCGAGGAGGGTAAGAAAATCGTTTAAACCTCACGGTTTCCTGCTTGCGCGTGTGGGAGGCTAGCTGTAGTGACTGCGGTATTAATCCATTGCTGGGACGTGCTCATCCCGTAGTTCACACAGAGCAATCTGCTTAAAAACAAGAGCACACTGATGTGAAAAACAGGCCCCCAAATCTGTACACTCCCTGACCCTGGCGATCAACCCATCCCTGTGGTCAACCAGGTGCCGCGCTGTGTGGGCGCTGGGCAGTCCAGCAGGGGTCATAGGTCATGCCTTATCTCACCGCTGTATAATGACTGAATAAAATTAAAACTACCTCATACTAAAGGAGGTTTCTAAACAGTTTATTAAGTTGTGTGGCCAGAGCTCCAGAGGCCTATATAGATGGTTATAGGGTCACGTTCTCAAGCTGTCATGCTGTGGGGCCGGGGATTCTACCCCCGACTCCCCGGTTCAGCCTCTCGTGAAGACGGATATCGGTCCTGAGGGTCCCCCTGCTCCAGGGGGGAGCCACACAGAGGAAACAGGACTGATGATGAGGGTCAAGTGTGGACCGCACCCCTGCATTAAATCATCTGCACGGAAGAAATACCCCAAACCAAGTGAAGGTCAGTCAGCCAGATCATTTCAGCCAATTGTGTCCACAATAACAACATAACATAACAATAACACAATAGCAATTTCTTCCCTAAAGGACTGGTGTAAATTCATCAATTGTCCTTCTAAACTGACACCTCAGGGGTGACCTCTGGATCTCTGCTGGACTGGCCAATGCCTGGATCAGACGTTCAAAGATATTTTTTCCTTGTGTTGCATTTGTCCCAGGCTTTTTCTTCCTTGTCTCGCTCTGTTTTCTGGGCCAGAACATGGACATGGGTGAAATATTCTAATTCCTCATGCGAAAATGTCACCACGGATTACGGAAACGCTGACGCATTTCGAAACTGCTCTCTTGAGCCCGGCTGGCTGCACCGAAGTGGAGAGATCTGGAGGCAATGCACAGTGGGAAACCGTTTTTTGCACCTCTGTGCCGTGTGCACAAATTTCCTGTGTTAGGGAGATGCTGTGCAGCAGTGGTGGGGGGCGGGGGGTCTCTGTTGTCGCTCAAGCTGCAGGGTGCAGAGAATTGCACACACACACACATGTATCTCCACCCACCCCAATCTCCAACAGTTACACTGCCACCAGCACCAAACACCACACAACACCCTGCGTCTAAGCACCACAGCCTGCAGGAATTAAACCAGCATTCAAGTCCTCAACAAATCACCCCATTTCCCAGCAATCAACTAACACTTCCTAATTTCTCATTCCCAGAAGAGCCGGAGCCTATCCCAGCAAGCAACAGGTGCAAGGCGGGATGCCAGTCTGTCACAGGACACACACAGACACACACGCATTCACACCAGGGCCAGTTTGTTTCCAGAAGCTAATCAACCTACCAGGGAGGACATGCAAACTCCACCCAGATAGTACCCAGGGCCTCAGTGCTACAAGGCAGTAATGCTGACCACAGTGCCACCATTTTGCCCTTCCTTAAACTCATCTTTGCACAAAAGGTCCAACTTTAAAAAAATCATATATGTCAGGAACCTTTGGAAAGAAAACCTATCTCCCTTCAGGGCTGTTTCTCTGAAATCCAACCCAGTCGTTACCAGGTCTGGCATCACAATATCCTGTGTCTGTTACATGACCATACTGTTGTTATTATTTTATCCTTACATAATGAAGAACAATTTTTCATTGCTTTTTGTATCGTATACCCACTCTATTTGGGAGGGGGGACTGGGATTGTTTAAGACTCAGCCAATGACTTGTAGCCATAAAGGAGGGGAGTGAGGACCTGCAGATACACCCCTCACACACCCACCCGATATTCCTCTCTTGTGGCCCAGTGAGCCCCACAGTGCCCTGTGGCAGAGCTGGCCCCTGCTGCAGGAGGAGAGCGTCTCTCATCTCTCTCTGCAGCACTCCCAGCCTGACAATTACCCCAACATCCGACAGCCCCATCTGATCAGTGCCTGACAGTGCAGCAGGAGAGAGAGGGAAGCTGGTCAGGAGAGCAGAAGTGACCGCAGGTGCAGGTGCAGTTTGGTGGGAAGGCTGAGCAGCTGCACAGCAACAAGGTCATGAAAGCAACCTGCTGCCAGAGGCTTTGAGTCACTCGCGCCCCCCAGACAGGAAACCACTCGGAGTGTCAGGGGTGGTGGTGGGAGGGGCTGTGACACAGGACTGGAACCTCTCTCCTCTCTCTCGCTGTGCATTTTCACACTTACCACACAGGCACACGGGCAGGAGAGCGAGGAGCAGCCACAGGGCTCTGTCTTTCATTTCCGGCGTCAGTCAGTCAGCCAGCCCACCTGTCAAAACAAACAGCCGCTTACAGATTCCCCCACACGGGACAGCAGAAGAGAAACCCAGCCGACGCCAGGAGCTACACGCCGCGCTCCCCTTCCACAGCACTCCGATCTGCTCCGAGTTTTACCTAGAGTGAACACAAAAACAAAAAGCCTTTTATCTCATTTACCTTGAAGTAAAATAGGAATATGTCAGGGTTGAAAGTGGCCTGCAAAATAGGATTTAGGCGTTGTGTTGATCTCTATCTTTGAGGGGTGGGGGTGTGATCTGAAACTAAACCAACATCCACTGGGCCTGGGACCCCAGAGGTTTCTCCCACTGGGGTGTTTTCCTCTCCTCAGTGCCCACACAGTCCACTGGTGCTGTACAGTATTGTCAGCTGCTGCATAATTCCGTGAAGAACTTTGTGGTAAACCGTTTGTGTGAAAGGTCCTGTGGCAACTCAAGACTGATTCGTTGATTGATTGATTGATTGATTTCAACAAATTTCGATTATTGTGGGCAACTCCAGGCCTGTTCTACAAGATTAGGTCACCTTCACAGAACAGGAAGTGGATCTATTCTGTAGAATATTTACAAGACACCACGATTTGTTTGGGACTCTCAGTCGCCCAGTCGTTGTAGATGATTGTTTCTTGTGTAAATGGTGTCAAGGACATCCTGCTGTTGCTCCCGAACTGTTCTGAGTGACGGTTTGTGCCAGCAACCCTGTCTCCAGATGCACCACCCTGAGTGCTGACACTGCACTGAGACTCATCTGCCACTGGAGGGTGCTATGGTTTCTGCTACACACTGAATAAAAGGAAGGAAATGCATTTTCAGTGGCACAAAGTCCCCCCCTGCACATACATCACAATTCCAAATAAAAGTGGGAACCGAAATCTCCACCAGTTCCTCAAATATGAACATTGCGAAATCTGTGTTCCTTAAACCCACATCCTTGTTGTTTCACGTTAAGAACTGCATGAATTTCCCCAGACACATCCCTGCAAGCCTCCTTTAATCAGGTAAGTCTAATTCTCCTTTGTAATGATGGCGCACATGAGCAAGATTGTAACAGCAGCATCTCACCACCAGCAAACTGAACCTGTAGCCCTCTGGTCTCCGGTTCAAAGTCCTGACTCCTTCTGATGTGTAAAAGGGACGAAGGAATTGCAATCCTAGTGTGCAGTGGTGAGGTAACCAGGGCTGCCGACTCTCAGCTCCTGGATTCTGGAATTTGTTCTAGCCTTGGGCACATTCTGGGTGGAGTTTGCATGCTCTCATTACAGTCCAAAGACTGTGTGTGTGAGAGAATGAGAGTGTGGCCTGTGATAGAATGCTGTCCAAGATAAAGTATTTACTGGATATTTATCCAGATTGGGCTCTGGATCACCACCTGCCTGCATTGGACTATACAGCTAATTATATCATTTCATTAACCATTTAATGCATAAATGGTTTGATTGATAGATTGATTATTCATTGCTGTTCCAATTATCAAAAACTTCAGGACTCAGCACAAATAAATAAAAAACTGCTTCTGAAAAGAGGAGAAAGAAATTAACCCCCGGTACACTGTCTGCCTGGGTTTGCAACAGAAAAAAGGTGATTAAACAGCAGTCAGAGTGACTCACAATACAGCATCTCAAAGCTGGGCTCTGACTGAAACAGAGAAACTGAAGCATGCCAGGGAAATACAAGTGGCGAACCCACATTTAGGCAATTACAGGCTTTTCTCCATCGAATTTCCGTGTGCCGTGACCCTACTTAGGATGGGCTCTGTTACTGGAGTACTCAACCCAGTGCTACGGGTGATGAACTCCTGCGCTTTCAATCAAACATCTCAGACAACCTCTGCCTGTTTACATGCCTGTTAAAAGCCACAGTCTGGTAATGAGCCTGCCCACATCTAGAAACCCGTCATCATTCATGAATTGTTCCACTGACCCACTCAAACATATGAGTAATACTCTCACAGCCTATAAGAAGGTTGCTTTGTGCTGAATTCATTGGATGCCAAGCAGCACAGATGGACAGATTGAGAATGTGTGGACATGTTTATACACCCCAGCCAGAATACTGGAATATTCTCCCTCCACCACTGAACATTGTCAGGGGCCTCGCTGGAAGCCACACTAACAGTGCAGGTTGGGCCCTTTCCATCCGTCTGTTTTCTGACTGCTTCACCAAACTCAGGGTCACAGGGGAGCTGGAGCCTATCCCAGCAAGCAACGGGCACAAGGCGGGGTACACCCTGGGCAGGACACCAGTCCATCCCTGGACACACACACACACACACAATCACACCAGGGCCAGTTTTCCCAGAAGCCAGTCAACCCACCAGCATGTCTTAGGAATGCAGGAAGAAACCGGAGCATCTGGAGGAAACTCACACAAACATGGGGAGAACATGCAAACTCCACGCAGACAGCACCCCAGATCTGGAAGTGAACCCAGAGTCCCAGCACTGCGCGGCAGCAATGCTGACCACTGCAACACTGAGCCGACCTGGAAATTTCCCCATCTTATCCCATGTTCCTAGCGGGACTCTCAGCTTGCAGGAGAGCCCATGAAGAGGGGGGGCTGACTGCATGTAGCACCAGGTCCCACCAGGACTGTCCTGGCCAGGGGGGGCCACACAGGTCTGGGTCAGCTCTTCGCAGACACAGTGGCTTCCAGTGTTCCTAATAATCTGGCCAGAGTGCAACACAGCGTGGCTTGTAAAATAAATATCCCATGTAGACAAGCCTGGAGATCTTACCAGCACCTCAACAGACAGGGTTATGTTTTTTCCCCCGACACATGAAGACTATTAAAAACACGCCCTATTCCCAGACTCCTGTTGTCCTATTGCGCTGTGATCTCTCAGGATTTGAAACCAATCGACCAAGGCCACTGAAACCCCACGCCCAGTGACCAGCCAGGTGGTGCAATCAACGAACAAGACATCGCTCCTGTTCTCTCGAAGGAAGAGGGGTTCTCCTATCCTTTCCATGTGTTTAACAGGTTAGTCAGACGAGAAGACCTGCTCCTCTACCGCGACGGCCCGCGGACCGGAACGACCCGGGGGCAGTGCCGCGCTCCAGGGTCCGACAGCATCGTGCCGCTCGTGTCCTCGGCTCGCGGGGCAACAGACGCCACCTGTGCGACTGGTGGATTCAAACTGGAGCGCAAACAGCGTGCGATTCGAGAGCAGCGCTGCGGGCTCATCTTCTTGTGCAATTCGGCCGCTCCCCACCTGCGCCACCGCGGAGCAGCTCGGCACCGTGCTCCCGGGCAGCACTCACACCGATTAAAACCCAGGGACGAGCATCGCAGTCCTGCTCCAGCGCCGCGACGTGTTTATCACCGGCCAGGCGATATCAGCGCCAGTCGGCTGCTTTAGAACAGGCGCTGCGGGAGTGGAGGGGGGGGGGCAGGGAGATGAAGAAGATGAAGAAGGAAAGTCAAACGTCCTTACCTCAGGAACGCGCGAACCCTTGGACCTGTCCCGAAGACCTGCGCTGCCCGACTGACTAACCCGCTGCCTCCCTCCTCGCCTTTAGCGCGTTGTCAGTGACGTCATCCTCCTCGACCCCCCCCTCCAGAAGGCGCCCACCCAGAGAGCGCTCCGCTATTGCCGGAGCACAAGGGCGCTGCGAGGCGTATTTGACAGAAAGAACAAGGTCTTCTTGTCGCGCAAAAAGATTTCACTTTTTCACTCTTTGTTTTGGAACGGTGATGATAACGGCGCCGTTGCAGCCGGTTCCCCGCTCTCGCCAGACTCGAGCTCAGCAGCTCACCTGTCTCGGGGGGTCGTGGAAAGGGAACTCAGAGGGAGGAGGGGCGCTTTTCAAACCGCTCTCCTCGAGCCGGTCCGCCTCCGGCAGCGCCGCAGTGATCTTTAATCGACACGGACGTGTCTCGCCAGTGAAAGAGCGAAGGGATGGCATCTCGGGCGCGAGCAACAAACCGTTTTAACGAGGCGTCTCCGGCCTGTTCCGCCTGGACTGGAAACCGACACGTAAACTGGGTCTTAGTCCGGGATCTCTAAAGCTAGTTTTGGATAGAACTAAAAACGCAACGACATCGACGTGTTTCGTGTTTCACTTATAGAGCGCCTGCAAGAGCGTTTCGGCATCCCGAGGCGCTTTACAAGGCGTCCTCGGCGAGAGAGGAGAGAGCTCACGATGAGCCGCAGCGGACGGAGTGCTCGGTGACTGCAGAGCTACGCGGAACGTCATCTCAACAGGCAATCTAGGTGGACGTTGTGATAAATTGTTGTTGTGCGCAGTTAACTAGGAAAGCGAATGGACCTCTTTAGTTTGCCTGCAGAACCGGTCCAGTTCGGACAGCAGGCGGCCTTCGCTACGTTTACGAAATACAATAGTATAGTTAACAGCGTTCTGCTGACAGAAACATACCAGCAATTAGCATTCACTAACACCTCTCAGGCGGCTATAAAAAGACAAAGGCAGTTGAGCCCGATTCAGACTTTCCATCCCCAGCAGGGCGACAGCAGCTCTCTGGTACTCTGCCACCTCTCCGAATTCAAGAGATACCATTTCCTCCGACTGCGCAGAAGAGCACAGAGCGCCTCTCGAGTGTGAAACCACAACACATCGCCACGCACGCAAACCTTTCCGATTTTATCAACAAACGAGAAATCAACGTCACTTCCAGGTATCCCTGTGTGAAACATACATTACAATCGATCAAATCTTCGATACAGACGTGTATATCTCAATATCTCTTCTGTCTGTGTAGTGCATGATTCGACCAGTGACAATAGAGGGAAATGTTTGGGTTTTTTTTATCGCGGCTGCACTAACGAGTTTCGTTTTCTTTAAAACACCACCAGCCAGTTAAAGATCATGCGTTCCTCTACAGAGCGTTACCAGATGACGAAGACTTTGCTTCAGCGATTCAGCAGGTCACGTGTTCAGTTAAGGCTCTAGTCTCTGCCTGTTTTGTCCCGATTGATTCCAGAGCAGGGTGCCGCCTGGGCGGAGTCTGCATGTTCTCCAGCCGCCCCGCTCTGTATCCTCCAAGGTGTCCCGGTTCACCCCCGCTCTCCCAGGACGCGCTGTGGGCAGGTGTTCCGCAGATCCAGCTGTCAGGAGAAGCAGTCTCCTCATTCTGTGTCAGGGATACTCCCAGCCTGCCACCTGGATCAGCAGCTGTAGCTCCTCGTCTTCACTGTCTCGGGTGCCGATTAGTTATCTGAACTTCTTCCAGAGAGCAGTGTTTTGTTTTCTTTGTCCCAATCGGCTGCTCATTGAAAGGCCTCCTGAAACTGCCATTGATGTGGCCCATGAGGACAGTAGTTGTGACGCATTGGTCTCTAAACACACTGAGGAATCTCAGAGATCCCCTGAAACAGGCGCTGCACCCCGGCAGACAGGGCTGCCTACTACCGCGCGCCGGCTTGGCGCAGGATTTGGATGGGAGAGTCTCGCGGCGACTGCCCGCGCGCCGTGGTGGGCGAGACCTGGGAGATCACAGATCACGCGTGTCCGGAAGCGAGCGACCCCCTACTCTGGCGCGGCCGCCAGAGAGGAGCAGCAGCGCACGTACCTGCACCTAATGAAGCCCTTTTGGCGCGGTGCGCCGCTCTTTGCCTTGTGCGATTTACTGGTTTTGAAAAATGGAGGATCAGTGTAAACAAAACCTGCGCTTGGCAACTGTGCAAAAACACCCTGATCCTCCGCAGGAGAAGGAGTAGAAGAGCTCTAGAACCGAGCTTTGGAGAACTACTGGCTTCCCCTGAGGCGGGCAGACCCAAACTACTACTGTCCTTCTAGTACAGCAGTAAGTTGGAACTAAAGACTCACTCCGGTAGCTACTTGAATCAATACCTTTGTTGCCACCTAGTGGACAGAAAGAAGCACTACATTGCGAACAGGGTGTCGCCTATGAGGTCACCCAGCCCGCGGGCTGTAACAACACCTCGTTGTTGTCGTTGTTAATCTGTGTCCCCTGGCTTTCATTCCAAATGAGCTCCTCATCAATTAAGGTTATAGGACGACGTTGCGCACAAGTGATCACATTACTCAGGTTTTGAATCCTCCTGCTCACTGTGCTCATCCTTAAGGCCCTACATGGCTTAACAGTGAGGTATTATTATTATTATTATTATTATTATTATAGTTTTAAACTAAGGGTCAATTCTACACTGAAGAAATAGTAATAATAATAATTGCTTACACTTATATAGCGCTTTTCTGGACACTCCACTCAAAGCGCTTTACAGGTCATGGGGATCCCCTCCACCAATGGGTGATGTGACGGCAGCCATAGTGCGCCAGTCCTCTCACACACATCAGCTCTCAGTGGGGAGGAGAGCAGAGTGATGGAGCCAGTTCAGAGATGGGGGTTATTAGGAGGCCATGATACAAGGCTTCGGCTTCACGGTTTTTACCACCTACATTTCGGTGTGGAATTAACCTTTACTGTTTTCTATGTTGAAGTGGAATTACCTGTAAATTATTCATCATCCCGGAGACTAAAGGAAAGAGGGTAAGAGTTCAAGTTTAGGACCCGAGGAGAGTTATTGCCTGGTCCAGGGTAGGATTTGAAAACGCAGTAACGCCATTTGGCCACAAGGTGGAGTCCGTGTACTAAACACAGCCAAAAGTAATCGCCCGAGCCGCGTTTTACTCCCGTTTCTCTCATTTCAGTGTGACGCGAACACTGCTGCTACACAGGCGCTGACAATTCCTGCAAATGCAGGTGAATTCCCGTCAGTCAGTGGGCACGATTTCAAACTTGGCGCGCAGACTCTACCGTACAGAAGCTGGGATCTGTTGAGGCCTCTTTAGAAAACAACAGACGTTAGACTTGAAGTATGACATAGGTCTGACGTCTCGACCTCTTGAAGGACTGTATGATTGATCACGGGTATCTGGATCTCTTATGAGGTGCGGCGCTGATGTTGGCCAGGGCGCCAAATGGGACCCGGAATGAGCTGGAATATCGGAACGAATAAAGCAGCCACGCTTTCCCAAGGCCCGCGTGCGAAGGCCGGGAATGAGCATCCTAAGCAGCGGGGATACTATCGCTTCCTCTCCAGACGTGGTTGTGCGCGTGAATGTAGGGCAGGTCTCCTGTGTGCAAAGCTGATGATTTCGGAACAGATCCAGCAGCGCGGGTACCTTACCAAAGCACAGCAATGCCACCCAGAAATAAAGCGAATTAAAATGATCGAGGTTTTCCAGGAGTACAGAAGATATGGCAGTCTCGAAACGAATACTGTTTCGGGAATAACTGAGCTACACGTGTGCGCACATCACTCCTGTCCTGGAGTCCACGCACTGGCTTCCTGTCAGTTTTCGTGTCAACTTCAAAACCCCCATGCTCACCTGCAAGACTCCACACGGCTCGGCTCCTCAGTACTTATCTGAGTCACTGTCCTTCTACTCTCCACCTCGCAGCCCTCGTTCCTCTGGCCCTGCTCTCCTGTCTGTCCCCCAAGCCCGTCTACACTCTAGGGGTGACAGGGCTTCTCCTGCTGCACCCCAACGCTCCGGACCTCTGTCCCCAAGGATATCAGAGTCACCGACCCTGAGCGCTTTCAAATCCAAACTCAAAACCTTCTTCTTTAGAGGGGCTTTTATTAACTGGTCCTGTGTCTGCCCCCCCCATCTTCCTCTTCATCTCCAGTCCTTAGTTCTAATCTGTGCTGGTTTTGTCAGCCCTTATCTTTCTGAACTGTTTTCTTTTAACACTTGTTTTACATTTCCTGTGAAGCACTTCGATAAGAGGCGCTGTATAGAGTTGATCATTATTGATTATTATTATTATTAGTAGTAGTAGTAGTAGTGTGCCGCTACAGTGTGTGTACACTCGCTCTTCTCGGATCTGTGTTGGTTGTTGACTGTTATCCTCTATGGGGCTTCGCTCGCCGCACTGAAAGGCAACCCGCCATCCGCAGGTCCTCCTTTTCATCGACTTAGTTTCACTTTGCTGCTGGAAACTCCGTGTTTTGGAAACCCCGGATTCAAATTTCATCCTGCATCCTGGCCCGATCCTAGAGAGGCTGTAAAGGGGAACTGACGGATAAGTTACACAATGACGTGCAAACTGCCTGTTTTTTTTTAAAGATCTATGCACAATTTCCTTGCAGAAAGCAGAATTATTTGACGCTCCCCCTGGCATCGGAGTGCAAGGTGCCCCCGCCTCACCGAGCCAGCTGCACACTGGAAACGGAAGGAGCCGAGTCTTGCTCGATCTAACCTCTGCTATTTTCCTCTTGTCGAAGATGGTATCTCTCTCGGTCGCTCGTCACTTGAATGGAGTTCGTGAAGGGGGAGGGGCGGGGCCAATCGGACTTCTCGGCTCTCGATTGGCCCCGGGGTGAGCCAGCCAATGAGAGCGCAGGAGGCGGGCGCGTGTGGTTGCTTTCTCCGAAGCGCAGGTAGAGACGAAAGGGAAACGCCGGAGGGCTCAGATGACAGATAGCGGCGTGGAAGTTTCCTTTATCCACAATTTCAGACTAACCAAGGAGAGTTCTGCCATCGAAAAGATTATTTTCTACCAAAAAATGATGAATACAGTGGTCCTCCAGCTCTTTCGTTGGTGTACCCACATAGAGAGCGTTCTGAGCAAATGACGTCAGTCCAGATAGACGCACACGTTTTGGGAAAGCCTGGACGTGATTCAGAACTGAGCTGTGCTGTTTACCTCACATGTAGCCCTGTGATATCAGCCCTGGGTGAAGCAATTATTTCCAAAACCGAACGTGAAGGTGAACTTTTGTTTATTTGCAGCGCTATGGTCTCCCCAGTTCTCCGTTTTAACGCACTTCGGTGAGATTTCGAGATTAATGCGGGTAAAAACAAGACTAGCAGATGGGCACCATGATCCCCTCAGTCTGTGCACGTCTGCGCCGGAGATCCCAAACGAGTGACGTCATAAAGCGCACAACAGCAATAACGTGCAAATTAATCTTAACGAAAAGATAGGACTCGAAAACGTTCTTTAATTTAAAGAGCATCTCCACGAGTTCTAAAACTAAGCTGCGTCGCAGTAGTCTAGCAGGGGTCACATTTGAGCTGGTCACATTTGAGCTGGAGTCACTAGCAGATTTTTTTTCTCTACAAAATATACTTTATTCCGTAATAACGTCTCAAAAGGAAACAATCTCACACAAATTAAAAACACTGCCTGCAATAAAAACATTCGGAATGGCAGTGATTGTCCGTTATCAATCCGTGCAAGTGGGGGCGGATTTGCGCAATTCAGAGAGTCCCTCCAAGCCCTGACACTTGCTGTTGTCCATTAGTCCCTGTACAGGGCCCAGAGCCCATCCTCCTCCTGAGGTCTGCCAGGATCCTCTCCTCCAGCTCCCTCGCTCCCCACTCTGCGCTGTGCCGGATGAGAGTGTTCCTCATGTCCCACATCAGGACCTGCGTCCCCTTGTCCAGTCCGGTAGGTGCCAGCCCCAGCAGGATGTACTGGTGACTGAGCACCGCACCCGTTCCCAGGAGCTGCATGGTGTTGCCCCTTCTGCCCCACACCGCCCTGGCGAAGGGGCAGCTCCAGAACACGTGCTCCTGAGTCTCCTCGACGAAACACGTGTCCCGGGGGCAGTGCGGGTTCCTGGTGAGCGAGTGTCTGTAGGGGACCTCTCTGGTGGCCAGTCTCTTGTGTACGGCCACACGGTCACCAGCAGATAATGCAGCTCTCTCGAGTGACGCACGAGTGAGTGATGTGGCGTTGCACCAGCGTTCAGCGCCCTGAAGCAGCCCGGTAGAGCTGGAGCCTAAACTCCCATCATCTACCTATGGGAAAGATCCCACTTCTTCGAACTAAGAAGTCGGGAGTGGAGGGCCACGCAAACAGATTCCACAGTTTTTAAAAAAACGCGCCTCTTTTTGAATTAAAATATTAAGGGATTGTAAGAGTCAAAGGACCTTAAACAGACGTTCACGCATTTCTGAACAGCTGAAAACTACCGATTATCAGACACATGCACATACCTCATGTATGTCTGGAAATACTGTATGTCTGTGTGTCTACACAGCCTGAGCCGAGATTCGGTTCATCAAGGTCTTGACACGAACGCGAGGCGAGACTGGTGGCGTCCTAACTCCCTGCTCTCTATTTTGATTCACCTTCAGATCCTTGGGGTTTCTCCTCAATGGAGATGTGGGTTTCTTCCATGTGTGTGGAGGGAGGCGGGTGGGGGCTGCATCTGGAGTTACGCAAAGGGTGGTGGGAGTGTGGAACAAGCTGCCCAGCCGTGTTGTTGAAGCCGGTACCCTGTTTCTTCTTAATTGGTACCCTGATTTTTTTTTTTACGAATTGACAGCCTGGCTTCTTTCCTTGGATGGGCTAGCTGCTGGAAACCCAAAGGAAAAGTCTCCCCTCTTTAGTTAACGTCTCGGTACTCCTCTCCACGAGGCGCGGATATATTCCGGTGCGCGTGCCACGATTCTCTTCTTTGTTAAGCCCTCCTTGGTGTTAATAGAATGCGTTTGATTGCTCACCACGAGTCACCGGTGTTAAAAATTATTATTAATAATAGTTCCTCGCACTTACAGAGCACTTTTCTGGACACTCCACTCAAAGCCCTTTACAGGTAATGGGGATCCCCTCCACCCCCAGCAGTGTGCAGCCCCACCTGGACGATGCGCCAGTCCGCTCCCCACATACCAGCTCTCAGTGGGGAGGAGAGCAGAGTGATGGAGCCAGTTCAGAGAGGGGGGTTATTCGGGGGCCATGATTAATGAGAGTCTGGGGGAAATTTGGCCAAGACACCAGGGTAACACAGCCTGGGGTTTTTAATGACCACAGAGAGTCAGGACCTCGGTTTTACGCCTCATCTGAAGGACGGTGCCTGTTTACAGTACAGTGTCCCCGTCACTATACTGGGGCATTAGGACCCACACGGAGCGCAGAGTGAGCGCCCCCTACTGGCCCCACTCGCTCCTCTTCCAGCAGCAACCTGAGCTTTATAATAATAATAATAATAAACTTTATTTTATATAGCGCCTTTAAAGGTGGCTTCTCAAAGCGCTTTACAGGATGACAATAACAATAAATAAGAAGACTACAACAATAAATAAGAAAATTTCACAAGACAGGACACAATTATAATTACAACAATACAACAATAACAATAGAGGAGACCGTGGAAGATGGTATTAAGAAGAGCAGAGGGGTGAAGAATGGAACCAGTTAAGTAAAGGCTTTTCTGAAAAGGAGGGTTTTGAGTCTGGATTTGAAGGAGTTTAGAGAAGGTGACTCTCTAATAGCTTTCCCAGGTTATCTTCGTTTTAATACTTATTAAACCGAACCGTTTCTTCTTTCACAGAGGTCCTTTATAAAAGTGTAATTACTTCCCCCAGCAAAAGTTATTTTTTACTTAGAGGGCTGAATTTGTGTCAGGTTCCAGTCTGTTTTTATTTGTGGGTGTCTTCACATATTTAACTGCACAGACTCCGCTATAAATATCTGACATCTTCAATTGATATACAGCATTATTATCAGTTAATATCTGCGGCTGCGTCTGGAGAAGGTTTCAGGGTGCGGCGGGCTCCGTGGGACCCGCGAGAGCCAGTGATTCATAAGAGAATGTCTGTCTCCACTCCGTGTTTTTCTCTTCGTGTTGGTATTATTTTGCTAACGCAAGACGAACACGGCTCGGGGGCGGGGCCAGCGGGGGAGGGGGCGTGTCCGCAGGCAGGGAGCGTGCGACTTGTACACACGAGCCGCGCGGCGACAGACGAGACACGGGGACGTTCTCGGCGTGTTCAGGCTGAGAGAGGCTCAGCGCACCAGCACCGCACTTTCCCAGGCGAATGAAAATCAGGGCACAACTGGAGAAGGGAGAGGGATTCGCCGCAGAAGACACCAGCCTTGAAGAGACGCGCGCCGCAGCCGGGACCTTGTCATGCATTGGCAGAAATGTAAGCGATCCGTTACCGTCGGTACTGGGGGGCTCGTGAGCAAGGGCGCTGATGTCATGCCGCCGGCGATGGGTCACGGGCCGGGACGCCCCGCCGGCGCTGTCGCGAGCCCTCGGCGTCGTGGGGTTGCTAGGCGGCGCGTGCGGATGCGTCGCTGAGCGTGAGAACGTGACACGGACCCGCGACAGAGCTCGTTTATACGGGAGCTCCCCGACCTGAGCGCCACTCAAGGAGGCTCGGGTGTCTGTTCTGGGAGGGGGGCAGAGGCGGCACACGAAGGGTCCTGCTGGGTTTGCTCGCTGTTAAGTGATGACTAGAGGAGCCGACAAGCGGCACCGCCTCAGCTGGGCCCTGCGTGTGCCGGTACCGTCTGTATCCGCCAGGGATGCGGCCGCGGGCTGTGCGCACAGTCGGGTGTAGCGGGGCTGTTCTGGGGTGATCCGCCCCCCCCAACTCTTACAGCAGCTGTAGCGGTTCCACTTCTCCTTTCTGGGGTGGGGCTGCAGCACTGGGGCGTCCGCCCCCCCCCCCGAGTGGGGAATCACTCGCTCGGTGGTGTTGTTGCTTTGCCTCGCGCTGTTCACTCCGGAGAAAAGGTTCCTTTTTTTAAAACTTTCTTTCTCTGTCTGCGATACAGCCCTGGGCTGAATTACGGAAAAGGTCGCTGGAATCCCCATCTGTCCCCTCCCACGCGTGACTCAGTCGCAGGGGTTTCCACTGGTATTTGCAATCGGCTACTGAAATTGCGAAGAGAAAAACAAAGCCGAGAGGATGCCGGGAGCCCTCGCTCTGGTCAGCGTGTGTCTGTCACCTTTATCTCGGGTTCGGCCTGAGGGGGTGCTTATCCACGCTTGGGGGGGGTAATCTCCATCTCGTATCCTGAACTGTAAAAGCTTCTGTTTTTTAGATAGTCCACGTTCTGTTCAAAACACCTTTTATATCATTGTCCTGTACAACACGTGCCTGATAATGATTGTACAAGTCACAACAGCAGTAACTATTCAGACGTCTCGATTCACATTTAATTCTGATTAATTCACTGCACTATAAAAACCCATAATCATCCACATAATCCGTGATTAATATTCTCTACTATTGATAGGATTGGTGCTATAACACTCTACTGCACTGTTTGTTTTTACATCTGCGGCTTCTGAATGTTCTTAAAAAGCGAAAGATGGGTCATCAGCATCTCGTTCGCTGTGCCCCGCCGAGCCGAGTTCGGGGGATCGTGACTCAGACCTGCTGCCGTGAAACCGGCCGGTTACGGGCATCTGGAGATCGCACGCGGGAGTCCCCCCCACTCCGCGCAAGCTGGTGTGTTGTTTTTCGCTGGTGGGTTTACGGCGACCACTCCCGCTTCAGACAGAAGCCACACGTGTCTGTGAACAGATATATCGAGAACAGTAGTAACACTATTCATTGCGAGAAACGAAACTAAAACAGAAAAGGAGACTGGGTTTTGGCTGCGTTGAGGACTCTGCGGCTTGTGTCACTCGGGGCGTAATCGTGTAAAAACACCGTCTCACTCGGGGCGTGATCGTGTAAAAACAAGAAGCGGCTGTGTCTCTTGTTTACGGTTGAAACCAGACACTTGTGTTCAGCTCAAACACCCCTTCCTCTCAATTTCCCGAGTCCCTGCTTCAAAGTCCACCCTGGCTCCGTCAATAACGCTGTAAGAAATGTCTGCATTTGTGTCAGGACTTCTACCGCCCGGTGACCAATACTGGAGTTCTGAGGCCGGGAGTCGTCCAGCTCCTCGGATGTTGTGTATATCAGCTCATCTGTGGGCGGGGGAAGCCCTGATCACCGAGAGCCTCTTCCAGCAGGTTGTGCAGGGAACCGAAACTCCTCAATGACTTGGAAAGAACTGATGAATGAGACCAGTGATGTCAGAGTGATTCACTGCAGCACAGCAGACAGTGAGGCCTGGAGGGACCGGCAAAACAGAACCCGTCTGGCCCCCCGAGGATGGAGTTAAGCACCTCTTAGTTAAATACTGAGCTCCTAAGTGCTTCATTAATCCTTCATTGCTGAACTGGCGCAGCTGTGGGTCGCTTTGAAAAGCCACGGAATCAGGGGGCCCAAGCTGATCAGTCAGGGAGCGGGGAGCCGGGTGGGAAGGAAACCCCGGAGCCCGCAGGCCTGGAGTCCAGATTTAGCCGAGGAGCGGCGTATCGTCACCTGAGCGTGTCTGCTCCCACGCATGAGTGGCGCCACCTGTCCGCATGACACGGGGCTCGCGCACGACTCGCGGCAGAGGAGGGCGATCCCCGGCTCGAGGTGGCGGGTTTGCATGCCGTGGGCTGTGCGAGAGCTATCCCAGCCGCCCACGCCGCGCGCAGGGGAAGCCCAGGGGCCCCCACTCTTCCACTGCACGGACCCGATCGATCAACCGATCACTCCGCTGATCAATCAATCATTCATTCGATCAATCAGTTTTATTCTTACATAGCAGCTTTCAATCCAGAGCATTTTCTTAGGACACTTTTCACCCACTGAACATCTAAAGTAAGGGGCACAGAAAGTATCGCAAAATCACGTGTCCGTGAGATATGAAAAGAAACAGGCTGTGAGCTACAGACAGAGAAGTCTTGAGGTGAGTTAGGAGCCCAGGACCAGGTGCAACACCTGACAGCCCAGCTGGGGAGTCTGACGTCTCTTCAGGGTCTACGTGATTAACGCGTCGTAACCGGCGGAAAACTATTTCATTATTTATCTCTCTTCTATTCTCGAAAGCACAGAAACAAGCGTTAATGATGTTGTTCCGGTCAGAAGCAGGGGGTTAATTCTAATACTTTTGGGGGGAGAAACATTGACTGAGTTTTAATTTGCTTCACACAATTATCTATGATGCTGGTGCCCCGCCCCCAGCCCTCCATGTCTCTCCTTGAGGACCCCTAAAATCTGATCTGAGACGAACTGTGGGATCAAGCCCTGATCTGCATGGCTGCCGTCCCCGGCGTGCTGGCTGCCGGCTCCGCTGCTCTGGGTGTGTGTTACTCCTAACTGCGCCGTTACCGAAGTGAAAGTAGAAATCATCTGGGAAAGACGGAGAGGAGCGCTGCACACCCCTGTAAGAAGACGGGTGGCTTAACTGGTCCTTTCGCTGCTCGGGACGACGCTCGGGTGACCCCAGGCTCTGGGGGACCCGCCGGGGGAGGAGGGGGGCAGGCCAGGGCCGGGGCGGGAGGAGAGGCTTTCGAACCGGGTAGAAGAATGAAGAGAAGGAGGCGAAATTAAAAAGATAAAAACGAACAACAGCGAGCAGATTGGGGAAGTTGGAAACGCAAGGCCGGTCAGTGTCGACGGCACGGCGGCTTCCCCTTCTCCCCCGGGGCGGGAAGCCCGGCCGGGGGCGGGACGGGGTTGCTCTCGCCAGAACCGCGGCGGCAGCCCGGGAGGCTCCTCCGGGCTCTCTGACGTCTGGCTTCGACACGCTGAGGGGCTGCTTTTCACGCCACGTATCTTTTCGTGGGGAGGATGGCTTTAATTGATGCGCTTTTTTTCTGTTTATAAGGACACCGGTCGAAGATGCCGCGGTCGATCGGCGTCAAAGGAAAGAAAAAAGTAACGAATAAAAAAAACAACGACGGTGTTTTCTGATTCTCTCTCTTTTTTTTTAAAAAAAAAGAGAACCTCTGCCGTTTCGACCAGCTGTGACCGATGTAAATGAAGACCACCGCAGTCTTTCTATACGTAAGAGCCCATAAGCGCGTCAGGTTTTGCAAGATGACTGTCGTGCTCCTGTTTGAACCCGAAGCGCCCGCGAGTTCCCGGGCGGGGGGGGGGGGGCTGGCTGAGTGTTCGCACCCGTGTCGCAGATGAGGGACTCCAGACACGACTGAGCGCACAGGCGCTCCGCGGAAAGACCCGACAGCTGGGGGGGGGGGTCTCTGACAGGCCGAGACCTTGACGTGGGACGAGCGCAGCTAATCCGTAACGACATGAATGTAAGAGCCGCGTTCTTAGGGAAGACAGTCCCAGCTAATGGGTTTCTGGAACACAAACCAAAGTGGAAACTACGAGAAAGGTCTTTACACAAAGGGTGGTGGGGGTGTGGAACTAGCCTCCCTGCCATGCTGTTGAAGCCGATACCTAACCCGCCCTCCTCTCGTCCTGTAACTTTCCTCTGAGTCTGGCGTGAAATAAGCACGGAACAAATAGAAGTGATTTAAGCCTTTGTGTGGGTCAAACGCGAGGAGAACCTTAAAACTGCGCCATTTCAGGGGCCAGTTCAGTGTGTAGTCCCCCAGAGCTAAGCGACCATGTCGTGAAACTATGCGAAATCAAGCTCAAGCGACACGTGTGCACCAGAGGCGGGTTTTCGTCACTGTCGCGGGAGAGCAAGCCTTCCAGGAAATCATTGAATTGATATTTAATTGATTTATTGACCCGAGTCCGTGGGGTCACCCTTATCATTTGGGGTGGCCTGGAGCAAAGCCGAGCGTTGGAGCAGAGGGCAAGACTCGGATTTGTGTTCCGAGACTTTTAACAACAGACTGCAGCGGCTGAGCGGGGATTTCGTGACCTGGTCACTCTGAAAGCAAAAGCAGAAGCGAGGAGACTGGTCGGGACCCGCCCGCCTGTCGCCAGGCCCCCCGGGGGGGCGAGGGCTCGGACCCGCACAGCCCGCGGCGGGCGCCCGAGAGACTGCAGGAACATCTGTGCGGTTTGGTAACAGAGCGTAACGGAGCCGGCAGGCAGGAAGGAAGGCAGTGCGTCACAGAAACTCAAGTGTGTGTGAGACCGGCTTCTATGAGTCTTCATTCGCGTGAAGCCAGGTTATACCGCCACCTGTTTCCTACTGGAATAGGTGTCTCACACTATTTTTTTTCACCTCTCGTGTCTTTTATCTTCGGTGGAAATTCTACTTCCTGTCGTTCTTCTGGGGCTAAGGTTTCAAAGAAACGCTGAGCCCTTCCCTTCACTGGCGATGTTGGCGTTTGGAAACCTCCATAGAATTCGTAAATACTTTAATTTTGGGTCGAAGAATGGAAACGAGCGGAAAAACACGCGACACACAGAGAGAGAGAGAAAGACAGAATTGCGCTCCGAGCAGGTGTCGCCCGCTATTCCTCTCTCCTTCGAGGTCGAGTCTAGAGCCCGAGGCAGACGAGGGGAAGATTCGGTCCTGACTCGGTCTGGGCGGGTGAAGGGATGAGTTCAGACTCGCGGACAGGTGAGGAAGACCAGCCAGCCGGACGGACGGACAGGGGGAGGAAATTTGTCGGCGAGTCATTTTTTTTTGCAGTGGCGTTGTCCTCTAATTTTATTTCGTCTCGACCTCGACTTCTGCTTTTGAGCTGGGTTATAAACAACGCTATGGCAACCAGCCCTGTGTGCGGAAGATTGCATCTTTGTGAGGAGCGACGGAGTTTATTTAGCACAGGAAGCGTGCTGGTTTCTGATCTCGCATTAGCTCACGGTTTCCCTTGAAACCTGAAAAGCGTGAGATGACATTATTGCGAATTATGTTGTCGTTTTATTCGCTGCTAAATAACATCAGGTCCCGAATTCTTTAGCAACGTAAGAGATTCATGTCACAAACGTTCATATCGACGTCGTATTTAGAGCAGAGTAAAATAAAACTCCATGTCATGTTGAAGTCAGTGCGCTATGTATATCTGAACGTATTAGTTCTTCCGGGTTTGTGTTCTTTTTCTGTTTCCGAAAAACGGCGAGGCGGAGTATGACTGTCTGAGGCGCTGTCCTGCCCGAAGCATGAATGATCTCTCCTGCAGGCGTGCGCAGGGCGAGGTGGCTGGGAGGTGTCTCTCTTGCCTCGCCTCCCCCGCGGTGAGGCTGTACAGGACCATCATGAGCTACAGTCCTGCTGAGTGGCCAACTATAGAAAACCACTCTGTTCTGTTCACTCATGTTCTGCCCCCTCTGCCCCTCGCTGCTCTCTGCTGTACCCCGGGGGAGAACAAGAGGGTCTCAGGCGCTCGGCAGCCCGGACACGGGCTCACGAGGGTCTCACGAGGGTCTCACGAGCCCGGCTCCTGGTGAAATGACGACGTGATAAACCGATAGTGCACAAGAGGGCAAACAACGTCAAACTCGACTTGCAAGCTCGAGAATCTCATGAAGGAAAAGCTGAAAAGGGATTCTGGGCGCCGGTCTTCGATCGTTTCGGACTTGCTGCCTGGAGCTCAGGAACTGGAGATCGGGGACCAGGAAACTCCCGGTTTAAGGAAACTGACGGACTCCGTTAGGCTGGGAGCTGTTTAAACCTGTGAGGAAAATAAAAAAATGGCATCACCGGGTAGCGTACGCAAGCGATTTAAATACCCTCCCCCGCTGACAAGTGGTGCCCCCTTCTGTACAGCGGCGCTCCGAGCGCCAAGCAGAGAGAAAGTACAAGTTTTCCTTGTTCCGCTTTTCGGCATGAAGTCATTGTTGTCTAAATATGTCTAGAATCTCCTTTGTTGCGAGATGACCTGAAACCGAGCTAAAGTACTTTTTTTCCCTCCCCTGTTCGTCGTAAACAAAGTGGCCAAATGGAATCACAATAACCTTCTCGCCTCTCCCCCCCAGCGCCGAAGGAGAAGTCGTGTTACCCGCTGCCCACCGTCAAGAAGCTCCTGGAGCAGAAGAGGAAGAGGGAGACCGGCGCCTCAGGCTCCGCCGCGCCCTCGGTGAGTCGGACAGGCTTTCGCGTGTTGTTCCGGGGGGGGGGCCGCAGGAGGAGACTCTTCCACGCAGGAAGTTTGAGTGACTGAATCTCGCGTGCTCTTCCGCAGGTGCCGACGCCAGTTCAAGCTGCCCAGCAAGGTGAGCGAACCGCCGAGGCGCCCGTCGATGGAATTTGTTTCAACAGAATGACATATTTCCAGAACCGTTCTGGGTCCATCCAAGCGTTTGGAAGCGTGTTAATTTCACAATCGATTTACCATCCCGCACACCGCACACAACCGTACAACACAATTTCACGGAGCTCAGGACAAATAGTACTATATTAGTAGTATTCGGACTTGCTGAACTACCTGAACTATATTAGTAGTGACTAATGATGTTGTTTAAGAGTGAAAGTCTCTTGAATGGATGGATGGATGAATCACCCCAAAGATTTCGCTGTTCATCTTCAGTATCTCCACTGCCTTTGGCAGTTCTGATTTCCCCAGATCAACAGATGAAACGTTAAGCTAAGAACCTCTCAATAGAGAAGAGCGCTTTTAACTTTCACGGCACGCGTTCTCCCACCTTGAGGAAGAGCCGCACGCTCTCCTCATTTGCTTTAGAAAAGGGTCCGAGCAGCAGAGGGAGGACCAGGGCCAGCTTGGCACTGCTTCTTACATTTCCTGTCAGTCTTGTACAGCCGTCTCTCTGCTTCACTCTTACTGGTTCACTGGCCAGACTGACTGCCAGTGCTGCTGGGGGTCCCGTCAAGCGCGGCGCCCTGATGACCCGTCTCTTGTAGGTGGTGCTGGGGGTTTCTCGGACAGCATGGGGGCAGCGGGTCCGATGACCGTCCCGGGGTTCGGCTTGTGGTCCAGCCCTGTCCCCCCCCACCCTTCCCCCTCCCCCTCCTCCTCCTCCCCTCCCCAGCAGCGGGAGTGCCTCTTCTCCGCCTCCGATGACAGCTTCTTCCGGTGCCTGCCGGCCCCAGGGTCCATGGACTTCAGCCAGACCGGCCCCTACACCCCCCCGGCCAGCAGCGCCTACAGCGGCCAGCACAGCCTGGCGGAGACCCCGTACGCTGGCGTCCTGTCCATCCAGTTTGTAAGGACCCCTTCCACCTTATCAGTCTCTTGTTATTGTTATCAAGAGTCCTCACACAGCTGGAGAAGGTTCTGCTTTATCCTGATGTCACTCTGATTTACTGCACTGTACTGTGCTTTTACCCTGATCTCACTGTGCTTTACTGCTCTATTATAGAATTTTGCTCCAGCCTGCTTCTTAATTATGTAATTGATCATTAACAGGGTCAATTAAGCAATTAAGCATCTCAGTGCTGTAGTGGAGCTGGTTGTGTTGACCTGCTCCATACGAAGCCTCGCAGATTACAGAGATTCCCAGTACGTTTCCACTGACAATGTACTGACCTGAAGGGCAGATAAACAATCCTGACCTGACCAAAGCAGATGTAACTCTGAGGCTAACACCAAGCCAGGAGCTTTCAATTTCCTTTTTTCTCGCCAGCCAAGCGACACGGTGACGACCACGGTCTCAGCCACGGGCCCCATGATGGCGTCCCACCCTGCCAGCTACCCCTGGCCCCCGCTGGCAGTGGGGGTCCCGTGCCCAGATCCCGGACACCAGGGCTACGGGATGCAGATGGATGCCGAAGTCCTGCAGCAGGCCAGGATGTTCCTGAGGGGGATGGACTACAGCAAGAAAATGTGGCAGGACGAAGATGGAGACACGTAAGCTCAGACCTAAGAGGGATGGGGTGGGGGGCATGTTTTAATACAGCCGTGATAGAGCTGGGAATGCTGGGCAGTGTGGGATCCAGCTGCAGCAGAGCCAGAACTGATTGCTAATATTTTGCTAATTGCTAATCATTCTAACCAGGCCTTAAGGTGGTGTATATGTAACTATTAATTCATTGTTTCTGCAATGGACTTCAAAATTCTTCTTAAGGTTTAAAATACTTTCAGAAAAATCCTTTATACGCCTAATTAAGAAAGTAATTGTTAAATTGACTGATCAAATACCAGAAGACTGCAGGTCCTTTGGGTGCTGAATGCGACAGCCCTGCTCAAAGCCTGGGCCATTTAAACAGCAGCAGCCGGCCCCTGTATCTGGTAGATACCTGGATCAGGACAGCCAGTACGCTGTGGCCGCGTCACTGCGCTTCAGTGAGCAGCAGGGAGAGGGCGCTGTCTGAGGGGGCGTTTGTATGTCAGCGGGTCGCGTGCGCGGAGCCGCCCAGCCCGGCCCTTGCGGACAGCGTGCTCCCCACAACAGCCCAAACCGCAGCCCAGCGAGAGCCTCATATTGAAACAGAAACGAGGGCTCGTGAGCTCCTCTGGCACATGGCTCGCCCGCAGAGCTGTTGCTACAGCAGTGGGTGGGTGCGAGACAGTGGCGGTGGCGGCGCTGGGAAATCCCGGCGTCATCGAAAAGTACAGCTGGACTCTGTCAGGGCTTCCAGCCCGGCCTGGGCAGGGCTCGCCTGTTCCAAGACACGCCCCGGCCATCGAAACTGAAACCGAAAGCGGAGCCGTCTGAAAGTCTTAATGGGATTGACAGATACAGATTCAGCGGGTGCCCTTGCCGACGCTGTCACGGCGGGGCTGGCTCACAAGCTGGACGGGGAGTTCTGGGGCGCCGAGCAGGGTGACGGGCCGTGGGGGTACTGCGGGCGCGTGGGCTGAGCTGTGGGAGAGGAAGGGCCGCGGTGTGCAGGGTGCTCTGCGCTCTGCCAGCTGCCCTGGTCCCATGGGTCCTTTTCTGTCCTCCAGGATCCTGCACATCTACACGGCCAAGGGCCTGCGGGAGTACGCCTACGCCGCAGCCGAGGACCTGAGCGTGCTGGGCAGGCTGGACTCTAAGGAGCACAAAGGCAAGGTATCCAACAGCGCAGCTGCCGGCCCGGGATCTTGGGAACAAGCTAGAAAGGATAGAAATGACAGGCAGCACCCGTTTGGCATGACTTTCTCAGCGTATTGTCCTGAGGACACTTCCCAGCTTCCAGAAACAGCTCCAAGGAGCGCAGTGTTTCCTAGCTGAGTGCAAACTGAGATCTTTATTCTTGCTGTGCATCTCCTGACCTTTCCTTTATAAAAGCTGAATGCTCATCATGCACCACTCATCCAGTATTTTTATGCATTTCGTAAACCCACGTTAGCAACTCCAGCAGTGCCTCTTTAATAGCTTTAAACAGGATGACATACCATCATGAACAAGCTGAAACAAAGGCTGAAATGCTCTGTCCCTTGTCCTCCTCTATCCCAGACTGCTTTGCTAGTAGCGGTGACAGCCAACCAGCCTGAGATCGTCCACGACCTCCTGCAGCTGGGGGCCGACGTCAACGCCTGCGATGTGAAAGGTCAAACTGCCCTCCACCTGGCCGCCACCTACGGCTTTCCCCAGGTCATGCAGGTGAGGCGCCGCGATGCCAGCAGTCGGGATGGTCAGGTGACTGAGCAACTCACTCCACATAGCATTCTGGGAAGGTGGTCCAGATAAGAATCTCCATTTGTTTCTGGACACGCTGCCTTCTTACACTTTCCCATTAAGTAAAGATACAACCCCCTTCTCAAACTGCAGGCTCACCAGACCCATGCTAATCCTGGTTTCTGTAGAGCCATTGGCCTTTCCAGAACGACACACTGGCTCATCACAGTGGTAACCCCAGCAGTGCTGGTCTCCACTCATACACCAGGGGCTGTCTCCGCAGTGCACAGCTGGACGGTCGCACCCTGAACCACCACGCTGACCCCCACCCAGCAATCCAGCCGATGTGCAGGACATGAGCCAGGGATCAGACCTTTCTGAACCTCGTTTTCTCATTTTTTTCAGGCTATTCTGTCCATGGGGCTGAACGTGGATTTGGAGGCTCGGAACTTCGAAGGTACGTCAGGCCTTAAAGCCCGAGGGATGATGGTCCACCTGTGCTTGTGCTGCCAGTGGTTTGGGTTTTCTTTGGGGGGGCTGGGAGATTGGCAGGCGGATGTTAGATTTGGAGTCGGTCCTGCAAGGTGCGAGCGGGTCGATACTGAGTAATGCGCAACGCTCTTTTCTGGGCGAAGTTCACCTCGGAATCTGCATCGGCAAGGGTGGAAAAGTCCTGGTTCTGCAGCTGTTCGGTTGGCTCTGAAGCCCACCGGTGTTGTTGGTAAAAGGGCAGGGAGCCAGAGATGACGTGGTCATTTCGCAGTTTCGCCGGACCGTGACAGAGACACTGTGCACTGATCCTGCGCTGTGTAGACCAGGATTTTGCCCTGGTCTCCTGCCAAGCCATGTCAAAGTGCAGCAGTGGGCTGGACAAGAGCAGCAGGCTGTTTCGTTAGGCTTCGCACAGTCTGCCCTCACGCTAAGCCATTCTTCTGCGCCAGGCTTCTTTCTTCCTGGGTGAAATGAACTCTATAGCAAGGCTCTCTTCCTCTGTGTCTCTCGCCAGGCCTGACTCCTCTGCACTGCGCCGCCATCTCCCACGGCAGCACAGTGAAGGCACTATGTGCGACGCCTGGGCTCCCGGACGCCGCGCTGCAGAACCAGGCCGAGGACAAGCTGATCTGCGTGCAGCTGCTGCTGGGCTGCGGGGCATCGCTGCTCAGCCAGGTAGGACCACAGGGAGGAAGAGCTCGGCAGCTCTACACACAGGGCGGTGGGAGTATGGAACAGGCTACCCAGTATCCTGGATCCTCTCACCAAAAGGCTGGATGAGATCCTGGGATCAATTAGCTACTAACTGCCAAACAGGGTTGATGGGCTGAGTGGCTCATCTCTCACACTTACGAGCATTACAAGCTTATGAAAATGGACATAATTGTATGTAAGATTTGTCTCAATGGCATGATATCTTCTGATTGCGCACATAACCTCACACTTTTCTTAGTGGTCATTCTGCCCATCCAGCTCATCTGGAAGCCGATCCCTGGATCTCAAAAGAAATTCTTGAAAGAAGCCAAAGTATTTGCTCCAACCATGTGGTTGGGTGGATCGTTCACTACTCCCACAGCTGTCTGTGTAAAGTAGCCCCCCCCCTCCCCATGCCCTCTTGCTCTGTGCTCTGGGAAGCTCTGTCCCGGGACGTCACTTCTAAATGCCAGCGTGTTCTGTTCCCGTCCCCAGGACATCAAGAGCAACAAGACTGTGCTGCACCTGGCGGTGAAGGATGGGAATCTGAGCCTGGTGCAGTACCTGCTGGGACTCAGCTACCACGACATGCACACCTTCGTCAACATGAAGGCAAGCGCCGCCGCCTGTCCTGAGTCTGGGTTCGATCGCCACTCAGCTGAAGCCTAAGCTCAGAGTTCGCTGCAGCCGGGTGTGAAACCCTGCCTGGCGCTTCTGTGTGGCCTCTTACCCCGGCAACTGAAGAGGGAGACAAGCAACAGATTTTTATTTCCATTCCTTTCAATCTCTTTTATAACCACTTCATCCAGTTCAGGGTCAAGGGGAGCTGGAGTCAATCCTTACAAGCGACAGGCACAAAGCAGGATACACCCTGGACAGGATGCCAGTCCATCACAGGACAAACACACACCCTGGACAGGACAGCAGTCCATCACAGGACAAACACACACCCTGGACAGGACGCCAGTCCATCACAGGATGCACACAGACACACTCACAGCAGGGCCAGTTTTCCCAGAAGCCAGGTTAACTACCAGCGTGTTTTGGACTATGGGAGGAAACCCAAGTGAACATGGGGAGAACATGCAAACTCCACACAGACAGCACCCCAGGAACTGAACCCAGGGCCCCACTGTGCCGCCCTCATTCCTGTCCACCTGCTTGAGTTTCCCAGAAGTCCTGACTCTGTCCCCCCTCTCCCCGCGCACGCAGGCTCACGGCAACACGGCGCTGCACATGGCTGCCGGCCTGCATGGCCACCCCTACCAGGAGGAGATGATCCAGGTGCTGCTCGGCCGCGGGGCCGACCCCAGCGTGCGCAACCTGGAGAACGACCAGCCGGCGCACCTGCTGCAGGCCGGAGAGCGTGGCGAGCAGGTGAGTGTCCCGCTGCGCACGCCGCGGACAGCCCACCCGTCCCGTCTGGTGGTCAGGAGCTACTTGATCCCAGGATCGCAGTCATCTGGTTCTCGAAAGGAGCCAGATTATCTGCTTCGGAAACATGGCTGGGCAACTTGTTCCACCCTCCCACCACCCTTTGTGTAAGGAAGTGCCTCCTGGCCTGATTGGAGGATCTCATCCAGTGTTTCTTGAAAAAAAGCCAGGGTAGTCAGTGTGTCTGTATTAACCCCTCTCTCTCTCAGTGCAGTGTTCATGTACTGGAGTGTCCAGTCAGTGTGTCTGTATTAAGCCCTCTCTCTCTCAGTGCAGTGTTAATGTACTGGAGTGTCCAGTCAGTGTGTCTGTATTAAGCCCTCTCTCTCTCAGTGCAGTGTTCATGTACTGGAGTGTCCAGTCAGTGTGTCTGTATGAACCCCTCTCTCTCAGGGCAGTGTTAATGTACT